TCTAATGTTAGCATACAGGGACTCATGCTAATGTTAGCATACAGGTTCTCATATTAGTGTTAGCATACAGGGGCTCATTCTAATGTTAGCATACAGGGACTCATGCTAATGTTAGCATACAGGTTCTCATATTAGTGTTAGCATACAGGGGCTCATTCTAATGTTAGCATACAGGGACTCATGCTAATGTTAGCATACAGGTTCTCATATTAGTGTTAGCATACAGGGGCTCATTCTAATGTTACCATATTGGGATTCATGCTAATGTTAGCATACAGGGGCTCATTCTAGTGTTAGCTTACAGGTTCTCATATTAGTGTTAGCATACAAGTGCTCATGTTAACATTAGCATATAGGTGCTCATGTAGCAAGAGGATCTGGCTGCAGAACACTGTGCAACCTCCGCCTGGAGGAACTCCACTGAGGGGGCCAGAAATCACATGACCTCCACCCCTGGCCTGGACATGATGGCATGATGGTAGTGGAGGCGTTATCTCCACTAGTTGGCTTGAAATCACATGACGTCCGCAATAGCGCTGGACATGACATTAGTGCAACATTGGGAACTGACTTTAATCATCTCTTTTAAAATATGCATTTGCTATTTTGGAAATATTACTGCAACATCAGGAACGGACGTTAATAATCTCATTTAAATGTACGGGAACAAAAGTTAATAGTCTATATTAAATTTGTTAGTTGATTAGCATCATGTCCAGGCCAGGTGTGGAGGTCATGTGATTACCTGCCCCACAGTGGAGCTCCACCTAGTGGAGGTTGTCCAGTTTCACCTGTCATACAGAGCAGGGACATACCTGATGGTCCTGGGGAGGGGATAGTGGGCCCGCTAATCTCTAGGATGGAATGTCTGATGGGCGGCTCCTCCTGGTGGGGCTCTTCCTCCCCGATCACATTCTCTGACGACTCTGCCTTGGGCTTCCGCACTCGCTTCACCTGGAATGTGATCTGGAAAGAGATCCCACCACCCCATATACATTAAACACCCCAGTGACGACCATCATGTTCCCAGCCCACTGCTGATGGACCACGTACCCATTCCGCACCCTCGTCGTCCTCGCAGTTTCCAAAGCAGGGCCCACCACTTTGCCCGGCCATGCCACCATCGCTCTGCAGAACGCGGATGCCCCTGAGGTCGCCACGTGGGCCCCCTCCATCCAGTGCCCCCTCAAAGGCCCCCATCAGCTCCTCCTTCAGCTGCCGTGCTTCCTCCTCACCCTTCACCTCTGGCCGGTGATTTCTGTCCTGTTGCCCGAGTTCCCCGGACCCGTTACTATCAAGTACCACTGCCTGGGGAGCTGAGGGTCAGGACAGAACAAGAGAGAAAGACAAACAGCGCTTTTCCACTGGCATACGGGAACTGCCATATCGCGAAGAAAGACTAGTTACAGCGCAGCTCCAGCTCACTTTGGTTTTCCACTGCAGAAGGGTCGCCTCGGTAAAGGTGTTAGCGGGTTTGGAAGAAGAGAGGCTTATTTACTGTCTACACGGTGTACATCATGATGTACTATGTGCTAATTTCTGCTAGCATGTCTGTGAGAATCTCAATGTTGCACTAGCATTGAATTAGCATTATCTTGAGAAAAATCTGCATTACAAATCCATTCCATTCCATTCCAGATGCTGAGGCAGACCGCAGTGCCACCAGAATCCAGGCAGATGTGAAAAGGGGGTCTTACTCTCGAAGAGGAGGGGGTCCTCATCGGTCTGGATAGACACAGGCTGGGTCGCTGCACCCTGGTCTGTGTTCTCCCCAGAGTGTCTGGCCTCCCCTTCCTGCGCCAGCTCATGGTCATCTTCGACGCACCGAGAGCCATCTGCACAAGGGCATGCATGCACAGGTGGGCACACATGCACGCACACACAAACACATGCACGCATGTTTTCGGAGACAACTCTGATCGATGGCATAATGAACTGCTTATGTCCTCATATCATCCTCAATCGACTTGTAAGGCTGCTGGCCCCCCACTGGAGACTGTGACCCAGGTCCCCTTGGGCTTGTATTGTGTCCAAAATCACAGGTTCCTGTACGACCCAACCTGGCAATTCTCCTAGGTCTCCTACTTCCACTGCTGAACCTGGCACACATATGCAGGACTGCATGGACACAGCATGTGGAAACATATAAATGGGGCCCATTAAAGGGAAAACCCATCATTCACATCTGCACACTACATCCGGGCATGTATATATTTTGAACCAATCAGAATTCAGCTAATGTTTTATAGATGCAATGATACACTGCCTGGCCAAAAAATTGAATTTAAATCAGCAAATACTTAAGAGCCAATGACTGGATCATTATTACAGCTCAGCAATGTTATGCAGCAATAAAGTGAAGTCAGCTAAGTACCTGAATCTACTGAATGGCCAGGTTACACCTCCATTCATCATCAATGGATTTTTTCTTCCCTGTTGGCATGGGCATATTCCAGGACAAGAATGCCAAGATTCATTGGGTTTGAATTGTCAAAAAGTGGTTCAGGGAGCATGAGGAATCATTTTCACCAAATGAGTTGTGACCTTAACCTCACTGAAGGTCTTTGGGATGTGCTGAAGGAGGCTTTATGGAGGTTCAACTCATTTGTCAATACAGGATCTCGGTGAGAAATGAATGCAAATCTGGATGAAAATAAAGGATGAGATGTTGCATAAGCTTGTGGAAACAATGGCATGACAAATGTGCGCCATAATCAAAGCTAAAGGAGGCCCAACAAAAAATTCAAATGACTTTTTTTTGGCCAGGCAGTGTATAAATCCCAATGCATTCATTGGCTACTTGGAAGTCCGCTGACTGGCATGGAAAGGTGGCTGCCACGTGATGTCATGGCAGGTCACGTGGGCGAGAGCTGCAGGGAGGAGGTAAGAACAGCATGTTTTGGGGCACAGGCGGGCGATGCGAGACGCCTGCATGCGTCGGGCACGATCAGTCCTTCCACTCCGGTGCAAAAAATAAAGCAGTCTGCAGGCTAAATAAGGAAGGTGCTATTTTTAGCCACTTCAATTACTGAGCGCCTGATTTCTCCTCTGGCTTCAAAGCCTTGATCTAACCCCCCCCCCATCACCAGGGGTAGGGGGAGTGTCTGCATAAAGGCGAGGACCGAGCAGCCCCGTGGGGGGGGGGGGTTGCTGAAAGGAATCGAGGTCCCAGGGCTTGAATCTCCCCACCAAGGAGCATGAAGGAGCTTGAGGAGTCTGATGGAGATCACAGGGAGGTGATAGGGAGGGCAAGGGCAGGGAAGGAAAGGTGTGTGTGCACACACACAGGCTGCAGGTTCCTGGTGTTCCGCAGAGCAATCTCTTTGCTAGCCACGCCCACACTAACCACACCCACAAGCTGTAGACATCCAAAGCTGACTGGGGTGGGCGGGGCCACAACCTGCTCTGCACTGAAGGCGTTCTGCCGCTGCATGTAGCACAATCGGCACATGTAGCACGCCAGGCACCCAGTCGGACCCCGGGAGTTGCCGTGCTTCGCTGTAACTTTACCACACTTTGCGCTGCGTGGACAGCACATGACTTTAAAGAGCTCCATTAAAACCAACTGATGTCACAGTTCAGACTTGGCCCAGCTGGGGGGTAGGGGCTTACCGGGACAGGGGGGGCGTGTCAGGTTGTACAGGAACGGGTAGAACTGCAGGCAGCGCAGGAGGGGCAGGCTGGTGCGACACTGCCCACAGCTGGCCTGCAGGGACAGAGCACGACGAAACACCCCCAGTGCGGCTCTGAGGTTCCCCTGGGAGAGGTACATGGTGACCTGGCTCAGCAAGGACAGAGGCTGGGGAGGTGGACAGGGGTCAGGGGTCAGGTTTGATCTCCTTTCACCAAGCATATCAGAAACTACCTGGTATAGCATTTGCTTCGACTCTACAAAAGGGCGCCCCCTAGTAGCAATACCTCAGAAGCATTGAGAGCCAAAGCCTCCCGCAGCAGAGGGTCGGCTTCCTCTGGCAGTCCATGGTGCAGTAGCAGATTGGCGGCATTGAGCAGGCAGAGGTCACGATGCTGCGGTGGGGCCGCACGCAGGGCGTGGCGCAGGCAGGACAGCGCGCGGGTGGCATTCCCTTTGGCACGCCAGAACAGTGCCGCCTCATTCTGCACGAGCCACCGGGGGGCGCTAGACTGTCATGAGGAGAGACATCTTGCAATTATTTTAGTTCATTTATCCACAGTGTTACCTGTTCAAAAATCGCCCGTTCCTAGAGTTTGGGAGTTAATGTACTGTTCAAGGTGTGACTGTCCTACGTCGATAAAACTGCTGTCCGATTTTCAAAGAAATCTGAGAGACCAAACATCACAGATATTCCTGAACTACTAAGCAAATTACCTTGTTTTACTGTACAGGACCAGAGCTTTCAATATCTGCAGTGTAGTTTATTACGCTACTACGGGATAAGAGGTTGGACAAACTGGGAGAATATTAGCCCATACTTCTTGTCACAATACTGCTGACCAATTTTTCATTTCAATCACTTTGCAAATACAGTGGTACCTCAGAACTCAAATTTAATCCGTTCAGAACTCGAATCGAATCCTAAAATGTTCGAGTTGTGATAGAATATTCCCCATAAGAAATAATGGAAAACCAATTAATTGGTTCCCTGCCACAAAAAATTACACCTAAATATGTTTTTTTTAGAATTTAAACACAAAATGAACTGAATAAAACAATGTGTCCTTCCCCGATCGTCCGCTCCTTCCGTGTGCCACGCCCCCTCGTTAACCTCATGTGGGATCCCCATGTGATCAGCTGTTTCTGGTTGTTCTCATTAGTCCTCTGTATTAAGTCCGCGTTTCAGTTTGTTTCCCCAGTCCAGTCATTGGGTGCATTCGACTTGCTTACAGCGCTGGCTTAAAGCAACGCATTCTGATCCTGACGCAATGCATTATGGTTAGATGCATTGCGACCTCTCACCCGGCTGCACAAACTGAAACCAATGGATACAATGACGTTTGTATACCAGGCAGTTCCGATGGGTAATCTGCTATTTCTCCCGAATATCACGTAAAGCAGTGAGAACTGGTTTTCAGTTAATTTACCTGGTAAAATAAAGTTTAAATAAATGACATAAATGCTGTAATAGTACACGTAAGTTGGTGGTTTATTTATTGTTAGTTACTGTAATGTTGCGCTGCTTTATTTAGTTAATCGTCCAGTCTGTGAAGAAGGCATTCAAGTAAGAATTGCATTGTAGTACGACTCATTTCCTGGCGCGTACAATTTATATTAGGTCAGCATTCACGGTTCGACTTCTGATATTCAGATCGAGTTCTAGGTCAAACTGGTTTGTTCGACTTTCAAGAAATTTGAGTTCTAGTGAGTTCGAGAACCGAGGTACCACTGTATATGTATTCAGCTAGTGTAAACATGCACGATGCTATCACAGCGAATGCGAGGCTGAGACTGAAGCTTTACCCTTTGTTTCCGCTGAGAGATGTGCGGCATGACTCATTTCCCCGCGCGTACAAGTTATCTTAGGTCGGCGTTCACGGTTTGACTTCTGAGATTCAGATCGAGCTCTAGGTCATTTTTTTCCAACTGGTTGGTTCGACTTTTAAGAAATTCGAGTTCTAATGAGTTCGAGAACTGAGGTACCACTGTATTCCAATCCGTTTCGATATTCTGGGCCAGAGGCAGTGAAAGATTAATCTATGATGGATTAACAATAGGTTTCAGCCTCCAGCGGCATTATAAAGTCCCCTGAGTGTCTCTCACCGTCTCCAGAGCCTGGGCTATGAGCGATCCGGCCTGGTCCATGCTGAGGCCACCACAGCGAGACAGAAGCACCTGGAGAAACGGCGCAACGTCACATGTTAGCAGAGAAGGCCCCGCACAACATATTATAATGTTATTGGTCAAAACACAATACGCTCTGCCCAATACGGCCCAACACATCATGACATCAAAAGTCAACACAGAAGGCCCCGCCCAGGACACCCCAACATCTCATGATGTCACAGGTCAACACAGAAGGCCCCGCCCAAGACACCCCAACATGTCATGATGTCACAGGTCAACACAGAAGGCCCCGCCCAAGATACCCCAACACATCATGATGTCACAGGTCAACACGGAAGGCCCTGCCCAAGACACCCCAACACATCATGATGTCACAGGTCAACACAGAAGGCCCCGCCCAAGACACCCCAACACATCATGATGTCACAGGTCAGCAGAGACGGCTCCACCCAACACATCAGCCATTTTATACCCCAGAGTTCTGCTGCTATGTGAGTGTCCATAACAAAAAGTGTTTAAGAAGGGTCTTTAACAAAAATTCAGGCGTTCAACATAAAACACTAAAAAAAAAAAAAAAAAAATTGTGATTTGAAATTATTGAATATAGTAAATTTTTGGTGAGGCATTTGAGTGACTTGAGTATTCTAGTAACCCTGATTTTTCCATTATCCTACGTATTACTTTAATACTGCATCAAAGGAATGCATCAACTGCATTATAGCAGAAATAGGTGTATGAAGCCACGGTGAGTCTAGTGCCTATTCAAGCACAGGACACAGCCCTCGGCATCCTGGACATTCAGATAGCTAAAAGGCAGGGTTTTAAATCACAGGGAACAGCGCTACCACTGAGTGACCAGGGATGAACATTTACTGACCTAATTATATTTAGAAGCCTAGATTACAAGAGGAGTGCCAATTTTGGATCATTGTTTCACATCTGACCTCCTACTTCATCAAACACTGCTTCCTTCCTTTCCGAACAGTTACACCTAGCTCAAGAACATCCTGATCCTGCAAGAGTAGTCTGCTGTTGTACCCTTGAAGAAGGTGCTCAATCACTTTGCAGAAAGGTAAATAAGACAACTCGAAATGTAAACCCTGGCCAGATGGAGGCCGCCGTGAGCTATGCAGGCACCTGAGCTACTGGGACTCACCTGGGAGGCTTGGGCATCTGGAAGCTGCCGCCCCACTGGCAGTGGCAGGTCCTGGGGAAGAGGCTGGGGACCAGGCCCACAGCTTGGGGTGACCGGCACAGTGGCTGGGGACAAATCCTTGTACAGTATGCTGCGAAGCCTGGGAGAAAGGGTCAAAGGTCAAACACAGTGTAAGAGTCCACAGAGGCTCCGGGGAACTTCACAGCGGCCTGGAAATTTCAAATGCATGGATCAAAAATTATTTACTAATTTATATCGTACTAAATACTTATTTCCCAAAGTAACAAGTAAGATTTAGGTTCTAAGTTTAGATCACAGTTAGGTATTTTCAGAAAGCATTACTGTAAACTGGGAAATAGAGTTGTAGAGACAAGAATTTGGGGAAATTAAACTTTCAATGAAATCCATAAATATCTCCGAAGGGAGTGAGGAGGTTAAAGACTTTGCCTGCCTCCGAGTTGGATGCAGTTTGTGTAGATAGCACACTGTTCACACATCGACTGAATTCAACATCATCCTGGGGTCCAGTGAACAACCTCCATACTCCTCACCTGAAGCCGCGGGTCTCAGGTTCGAGGTAAAAGGTGGGTAGCAGGTGAGCCGGGGGCACGGCTGGGAATCGGTCGGCACAGTCTGCTCTCCTCGGCCACAACTCAGCCTGGCTCTCCTGCTTGGAGACACCACTGACTGTGAGTGTCCACTCAACACACCGGACGCGGCACAATTGGACAGTACTCGGACCTTTAAAGCGGCAGTTCACCCCAAAACTGGAAAAGATGTATTTGGGGGGGGGGGTTTAGTGCTACCTATTCATCTAGGTTGTTCTGCTGGGAGTTGCCTAGTATTCAAGCGATACAATTGGTGTGGAGTTCGGAGGAAGAAAATAATTCCTACATTAAACTGCTCACTACAAAGTCTGTGGATTATCATCAATAACCGGGTCATGATTTCTGCTAAGAGACACTTCTGTTGAATTTTCCAAATGCATTTTTCTGATGATTTAATCACCACAGAAAGAATGCCATTCACTCCCATTACATTCGAGAGAAGGCCGACATTTCTATGGTCGACATCTCCAAAACTAGCAAAACAACCTAGATGGATAAATAGCAGTAAAGTCCCTCGAACACATTTCCTTTTCAGTTTCGGGTTGAACTACCCCTTTAAGGCTGTCAAATACAGCATGTGTCACAAAATGCCTCCCACATGAGACTAGAGAAAGAAATGATTAAGCCCACCGGCTACTGTCACTGTTTTAGCAACTTGGCCATCTTAGGACACCTCATGGAGCACAGTTAAGCGCTAAAAACGAATCTGCAAACACTGGTGGAGATTACGCGAGCTGATTTTTCGGCAAATTTGCGCGTCCCCCAGCCCAGCTGGAACGCGCTGGGGATGTGCGAAGACGCCTTCCCACGTCCGCGGTGCGTCAGCGCTGACAGCTGACGTCCAGCCCGGCGCCGCACCTGCCCGCATGGCAGCGAGTACCGTCTCCTGCAGTAATTAGCCGCCTGACAAGGCGTGCAGGTTCACGCTCGTTATTTAACACGCTATGTGCGAAGAGCTCACTACAGTCGCTGAGGAACAGTCATCAAGATCATCAAAGTCGCAACTGAAAACGTTGTAATGTGAGGTCAGAGAACCCAGCTGTCTTCCATGTTACACACACACACACACACACACACACACACACACGCAATGACCTCACTCACTCTCACGCACTGACAATCCCATCTCACGCTCCCCCTCTTCCTCTCACACGCACGCTGTGCTCACCGCCGAAGATGACGCCTCCCTGTCCCAGAGGGAGGTGAGCTCCTCCCCCCCCGATACGGAGGCGTAGGGTTGGGGCCGACGTGTCTCGTTGAGGGTGAGCTCTGAACTCATGGCCGTACTACCAGCCACAGACATCCCATCGCCGAACTGCACAGAAAGGGGGGGGGGCTGTCAGATATTCAGGAAATGGGTGCCTGAGGAAGCCTCTTTAATGCAAAGTGCTACAGAAACAAAGTCATCTACAGGGACCGCCGATAAAAACCATGCGAGGTCCAGCAACATGTTAGCCGCTTTCCCAGCAGAACCAGGGACCAGAACCTTTTCAGGAATTTGTCAAATTCCCATTACAGGAACTGTCTGACTGTAGGTCCTAGGTAGTTCCAGAACCTTTTTTTGCGTCCCTACACAGGCGTAGGCACTTATTGCTGTACCTGAAACTACTCAATGTGGCGTATAGCGATAAACTTTGCTGACTGATTGACCATAACCAATGTAGATGAAATTATTTTCATATCTGAGTTACATTTAATATCTGAGTTACATTTTTGCTTGCATCTCCATATTTGTGCATCAGAAAATTCAATCAATAACCAATATAATTTTGTCTAATGACGCCGATGGTGAAACTTGCCAGCACTTATTAGCACAATAACGTTACATTGTTTTTATTCTGTGGAAAATTAAAGATTGACCTGCTGGCCAGATTTGATAATGAATTACATATATGTCACGGGTCGTCTAAATAAAATGCCATGTCCTGTTTTGAAATAACATGGGACGCAACTTGTCCTGTATTTTCGGACCATGCAATCAATCCCCTTAGTAACTAACAAATAACTAACACAATGACGTCTTCATGCTCCTTCGTTTTGGAGTGAAATCGTGAAAATATGCGTGACGCTTAACCTAGGAACTTTTCGTGTCTCTTAGGCTTATTTAGCATAAAGCTCACAGTTCCTGATGTGTGGTGAGACAGCGACACACGGAAGTGACCAGGAAATGCACAAGTTCCCGGGTCGAGATGGCCCAGGAAGTCGGAACCAGAAACAAGGTTTTCTGAACTCCGGTGGGAAAGCACCTATTAGTGGCTTATAAGAAATAATTGTTGCCAGCAGGGTTGGGGCCATTCCAGAATGCACTGATCAGTTCCAGTCCAAATCAGGAAATGGAACTGGAGCTGGGATTGGAAAAAAAAACTACAGGGAACTGAATTGGAGTTGAATTTGAATTTCAGGGAGATTTAAGTTCCAACTCCAGTTCCATTTCCTGATATGGACTGGAATTGATCAATGCATTCCAGAATGGCCCCAACCCTGGTTACCACAGATGTGCATGAAACATCTGACCACTCTGTAGAGCAGGGGCGGGCAGTCTTATCCGCAGGGGGCCGGTGTGTATGCAGGGTTTTGGGATAACCAGTAGGTCAGCTGTTCAAACCCAGGTGTGAGGACTCTTCAGCCAATCAGTCCTCTAATTAGTAATCTATTTAGGGAGTTGCAGCGAAAACCTGCATACCTAACAGTCCTTTCTGGATAAGATAGCCCACCTCTGCTTTAGGGCAAACATCACTGGGATTTATTTTGTGTAACCCGTGAAAGAACTGACAGTCTGAACAACTTGTTCCAAAAAGAGTAAATGAAGAAGGGCAGCAGTGAGAGTCACCTGAATTGAGTGAACGCTCTCAAAGACGTCCCCGCGATGGTAGCGCACGGGCAGGTCAAAGGGGCACAGGAGCCAGCCCTGCTGGCCTAAGCGACACACCTGGTGGTTCCCTGTGACACACACACACAGGACATCGTGACTAATGAGCTTCCCTAAGCCCGTATCAGCAGAATGATAACGGCTGTAATGATGACTGAGGGACGCCTCCCTCACCCAGCTGAGCCTCCTTGGCCATCTGCGTCTCATGGATGATGTTGCGCAGGATCTGCTCCTCCTGAATGAGCTTGTGTTTCTCCAGCGCCTCCTGCTGGCGGAGGTAATGGTCATGCTGCTTCTGATACTCCTTCAGCTCGTTCAGCGTGCGCTGCAGGGACCTGTGTGAGTAACGCTGTCCGTAAGTCTCTCCTCCTGCATACACGCTAACCGTGTGTGGACTGCGTGATGATAAGGAAGAGGATGAGGATGAAGAAGAGGTGGAAGTCGTGCCCGCGCCCCCCCGTTTACCGATGCTGGGCCTCCAGTCGCTGCTCCAGCTTCTGCTGGCAGAGGACTGCGTGCTTGCGACGCAGCGCCTGCTCGATCCCGGAGCGCGCCTGCAAGGCCTGGTCATAGCAGAGCACTGAATGGTTATATTCCCCCAGCATCTGTACAGGAACAAAGGGACACGGGGTGGTGACCAGACAGAACACAGGGCACCCAGCCACAAAGGCGACCAGGGCACACGGGTGCCGGCTGGGCACACGGGTGCCGGCTGGGCCCGCGCTGCGAGCCGCCCACTCACGGCGTAGATGTTCCCCAGCGTGTAGTGGCTGGTAAAGAGGTCAGCCGTGAGGTCCAAGGCGGCGTGAGCCAGAATGGCGGCGTCCGCAGAGAAGTGAGCTCGGTGCAGGACGTTGGCCATATTCAGCAGCGCCACGTCCTTGTGCTGCCTGCGGACGCATATGCCACACGCTCAGCGACGCCATCTCCCTACCCTCAAGAGCGTCACGGGCTGAGCCACACAGCTCCGGTCAGCAGATGGCGCCAAAAGACATTAAGTGGCATGAATGTACAGAACAGGCACGTGGAGGGGAAATACCGCCACGGAATCCCCGGGGAGTTTCCTGTGGGGTTTCCAAAACCGGACCCAAGACACCCACCTCCTTGGAGACTATTTAGCTCTAACCAAATTCATATTATTACCCAAAAAAAGAGACATCTTCCACCATTATTCATAAAGGCGCTACATAGATTGTAGTATGGGGTTTCCTGGATGAAAACCGATCTCGTTCATAGACATCACAACATGCTGAGTCACACTAAATATCACAAAGGGTGGACAGTTTGTTTATATATGGCTTTATGAGATAATGAAACTTCAAGACTTTCAAGAAGTGTATTTTTTACTGTCTGCCCCAAGTTAAGCGCCTTGAAGAAATTATGTAATTGTTACATCATACCGGCAAAACGGAAAATGGAGCCAGAAGATGGTGGACGGGAAACGGAAACAAAAGCGTTGCTAAGGCAGCGGTTTATACTTAGGATGGGAACTGAAAGTGGTCAAGCGTAAGGGTCAAGCGGATGCATCCACCTACATTAACATGTTCATCTGCGAGCTCTGCATATTATTCTGGTTAAGAAATCCTGAGTAGAAGCTAAGATTAAAATATGCACAGGCCCATTTTCAGTCAGAGGCTATGGCACGCAATAAAGACATCAGTGGTTTCTGGTCATCCTGCAGAACGGTTTGGTGGTTACAGGCATACTCAGCGTTTACAACACTGCACATCAACAATGATCAATGAAGATCAGGATAAAATCACACAGGACAAAGGCACAGCACAAGTACCTGGGCGAGAAGTGCAGGGCCCGGACCGCGCAGTCCACTGCATGTCTGGGTTCGTTCTTTATGCGCCAGTAGAAAGACGCCAGGTTGTAAAGCACCCAGGAGGAGGAGTTCTGTGATGTAAGAGGGACAACAATGGACTTTCATACCTTCCCATTGGACAGTTTGCCAGTCAGTTAAAACAGCCACACACATTCGTCCTGCATTTATACATCATGCTGTGCTTGGAAGTTATGACAATACTTGTCATAAAACTTATCTACTGTGCGCTTAACAAAGCTTACAAAATAAAGGTCATCGTCGACTTTTGACCGCAGTCAGTCACCCGGCCCTTTATTTTATGTGCAAAAATGATCATATGTATAGTATACTGTATAATAAAATAATATAATCTTTAAGTCATAATGTTCGCCATTTTTTAAACTTTTTATCACCATTTTCTGAATTCTTTGCTTATACTGAAATGTCACTGTGCTAAAAACCATCACATTACATAAGTGGGTATCGCAGCACACAGGCCAGAACAAAATGAAGTCCTCCATACTCTATGTTCAGCAGGGATCTGGACCCTGGACCTTCACTAGGCCGCATTAAACGGAGTGTGGCCGCTTTAATAGCCCTGACAGCTGCGCTCCCACCCAGTTACAGCTGGACCGGATGAACGGAGAATGAGACTCGGGTGCCATACAGAAGCCTCTGGAACCCACCCCTCACCCTTAGTGATTCAGGTACGATCTGGTTTGACGAATGTGTATAAAGCCAAGCATGACAGCTTAAGCACACGCCGGTGTGACCTTACCCTCAGCAGACCCTGGTGTATCCGGTGACCTGCCTCGTCCACGCTGCGACCCAGCTTATTGGACAGGGCGATGAAGATGGGGTCCTCCTTGGAGAGCAGTGGGGACGTCAGGTTCCCGCGCTCCTGTATGCCCTGTGGACACAGTACCCGTGCGTCATCCTGGTAAGCCTGTGCACACTGCACTGGTAATAACCACTATCTAAACATAGGCACCCAGATTTAAATAGATGTGATTAATCAGAAAACCAAAACATTAAATGAGAAACTGTAAGAAGTCAATCAAAAAATGCATCCACCTACATTAAAATGTTAAATACTCTTTTTATAGTTCATGTATTCTCTTAGACAATTTTAGACAAATTATTTTTAGCTGTCGCTTCATCTCAAAGAACACAGGACACTGGGGAAATAAGCCTTTGCTAGCCATTTAGCATCTGTCCGCTAACCAGCTGCTCTGCTCACCCGGAGGTGCTGGAAAGCATGGATGCTGTACGGCAGCTCAAGAATCCTGCCGCAGTCCGGCTTCTCCAGCCCTGGAGGTAACGGTGCTCGGAAATCCACATAGTCCTCCGGGCTGCCGGGAATCGGGACATATTCCTCTCACATAGTGACCCAAGATTCAAACACAGGGGGAGAAAAAAACACACATGCCCAACGGAATGGGATTCCCATGACAAGCCTCGCCAACTCTATACCTCTATGCAGCGGCTTCCAAGTTCTGACCTGGAGTACCAGGCCTTCAGTAACCAAAGCAGGGCAAACTAAATGAAACTGCACCACAGTCAAAATAACTAAGGTAAATGTACCCTCAGCTAAACAGCCAGCATATGAAAACCTGACAAGCCCATCTTATCACGCGCAGCTCACTGTCACCCATTCATTCCGCTGGGAAGGATGCTGACGATGCAGAATATCCAGAAACAGCAATGTCCCTCCCAGAAATCGAGCGTTTGATCCTTGACTTTAAACACTGTTACCTTCATCCAATAATATTACATTAAACAGGAATTAAATCAACAGTCTTTGGGGCACTTCATGCTCAGCCTTAGTGTTATCATCATAATCATCTGTGTGGGTGTTTCAGTCATAATCGTCCAATTAGAGTTTAGGTAAGGAGCATTCCTATTGGATGATCAGAAATGCTGCTTCATGGAACAGCCCCTGGTTGTGTCAGATTGAGCCTGCAGGTAGAACAGCTTCAAGTACATCCTACCTGATGTCTTTGCTCTCCAGAGAGATGTAGGTGCCATCGTACAGGTCCAGGTCCCCCAGAGGCACCTTGGCTGTCATGCAGTCGGGGTCCTCCTTGTAATGCCGCTGCTCCAGCCCAGTATCCCGGTCCTCATTCTCCTCAATGTGGATCTTCTGGGCGACAAGCTGCTTCTGCACCAAACATGGGGGGGGGGGGGGAATTAGGCAGGACTAGTACTACAGCTGTGAAGCGGCTTTTGCAGGCAAGAGATTGTTACTAAAACAAAAGACCTAAATCCATCTACTTAAATCCCAGCAACAGGAGAATATTCACAGTCATCACCAAAGACTGTTCAGAGTTATATCATTAATAGATAATTAGATTAACAGGCACAGTTCTCCAAAATCGCTGTTCCATAAAACTCTCCCCTATTCAAGCAATTTGGGTTAGGAGCAGAGGTGGTAAACTCAGATCAAGAAAGTACAAATCCAGACCAAGGTTTTGTTTCAACCAAACAGTTGAGTACTCTGTGACTGTGACCCTGTATACTTAACTGGCCGGTTGGAACAAAACCTTGATCTGGGTTTATATTTTCTGGTTCTGAACTTTCCACCTGGTCAGGTGTCATACCAAGAGCATAAGGACAGAAAATAAGAGAAAGATGTTTATGTCTGTTAAGACAAGCAGGTACGCAAACTGGATGGATAAACTTTCTTAACCACTGCAGGACTCGGTGCATCTTACCTCCAGGTCCTTGAGGTAGTTCACACGGGTCTCTTGTCTCATGAAAATAACAAGATCGTGTGGGTGTTTCAGGTTCATGGGCGAATCCACCTACAAAACCAGACGCCGGGTTAAATCTAACCTTGGACCAAAGTTGCGTTGATGATCAAAAGTTAAACAGTAAAAGTTAAAGTTCATTTGTACTTCATTATGTACAAGCCGTACTACTAGATCTAGGTACAAGGATAACGGAGGTTCGCGTATCTAATCGAAATCACGTTAGACTGCATGTAGCCGGCGTCATTCTGAACGATGGCTACATTTTTATTAAGTAATGCAGATGCATAACTGTTTTGGAAACTTTCCAAATGAATGACACGGCTGCCATTAAATTTCTTTCAAAAATACATTGCTGTGTGTAGAACGTTATATAAACACCTCTGATTAAATCACGTCCAGATGTAACTACATCTTTGAACCCCTCTGCATGCAACTATTTAGTAGAGGTTCCACGTACAACAGTCGACACTGACCAAATTTATGTTTTGTGCCACTGTTATAATTACCCAGTTATCCAGCCAGCCAACCAATGCTATTTTGACGGTCATCGATCGGCTAGCTGGCTAATCGGCTAACCTGCGCTAATCTGTCGATAAAATAAGGCTGGCATCGTACTTGCTGTTGAATTTTCCCATCCTCTGTCACAACCCAATGAGTGGTGGCGCTTCCGGGCTCGACAGAAAGAAAACCAACAATGGCAAACATAAACGTGACTGTCTGTCGCAAACCGAAAAGTCGCCGGGACCCTAAGCAGCTCCTCCTGTGATCCGCCATTTTTTCTCTCTGCTTTGCAGGCGCATATTGAAACCGGAAACGGAAATACGTATGTGCGTCGCGTGAGAAGGAATACCGTCCAATATAAAAGGGTCAATTCATTCTTAAGAGACCCCTAAACACACTGTGTAAGCATGTAAATATTACTAACGTTAATTTACATCGTGGACACACCCCTGGCTTGTGTCCTGCGTTCTGCAAGAACAGGATTTAGACTCATCGCGACTCTGTGCTAGGTAAGAAGAATTGAAAATGGGTACGTGAATGAATAGGAGATAAATCAACTTTCTTATACACCATTTAGTACTATACATTAACGGGATTTATAGTCAAACGACTTTGGTCCAGGTCCTCTTTTTAATCCAAAACATTTTAAATAACACTTAACAGGAGTAAAATGGCAATACAAAAATGCATGCAAATCTTTACAGCAGAAAAACTTCACATTCATTTATAACTACTGTAAGTCACATACAAAGCCAAGTTGCCCAAAATTCTCACTGAATCTTACTCCTAGACTCCAAGTGTATTATTGGCAATGTCAAGTGGAAAAAACCCCAAACTATAAACGCTCCTTGCTTCTACTATTAATAGTATTGGAAGCAGGCCCATAAAATTGTCTAAGGTGGCAGATTTTTTTCATATAACAATTTAGACCTTTTCATAATAACCTGCTGACTAGTCTATTGAATCCATTGCGAAATCACCCAGTGGGGGGGTATGGTATTTAAAATAAAAAAAAAATAAAAAAAAAGCAACAGGGCACTTCAAGATTTCAGATGACAATTTTGATACCAAGTATAACAAGCCTGGAACGTACAAAGACAACAATTGTCACCAGTTTGTTAAACAAAAAGCGTTTGTTCCATCAGGTTTTGAACAGTCAGTATATCACGACCTGGTCATCTTCTATGCCACAGATGTGTCCGTACAAAACCAAATCTGGAAACTTTTACTCAAACAGAATTGTTGCTGGAAGGGTGGTAGAAACGTTCCCAGTCTAATGTCTCTTTTAAACAAATTTGCTTTAAAAAATAAAACTCAAGATTAATATTTCTGGGTGACTGGAGAGAAAGGAAATGTAGAAAGTATCAAGCTGTTGAAGTGTGGCAGAGGTCAGGAAAAAAAAGGCCCAGTCACTGGCGGTAGCCTGTGTGGCGGCAGCATTCGGCCAGGAGAAGAGCAGGCCGCTCAGTAGATCCTGCCTCGGCTCCTGTTGCCTCTGCCCCCCCAGCCTCGGCCTCGGCCTCCTCGAAATCCACCACGTTGCTCTGAAATCCAACATAAACATGGCACCAACATTTAATCATACAATTCCAAATGAAATTCTACTCAGTGAAAAGAGAAGTCTAGTTTTGCCAGTCCTACGAATACTGAATACTACATAACAAAATGATGGCAAACGGGAAGAGAATCCCAGCGCCTGAAAGCATTTAGTATGGGCCATTTGATCTTTGAGTAAAATGGTGATTTTTTTCCCAATTCTTGTTAAACATTAAGCAAGTTAAGTGCTTGATTAATCTAAATTAAAGTAAAAGTAAAAATTCTACAAGCTATTCACAGATCAAAAAATTAATCAAACACACATGCAGCACTTTATTCACATCTAAAGAATCGACTGAAATCACAAAAACAGACTGCTATTAACTAAGGGTATTTTTCCACCGCACCAGGTACCCAACTTTTGGTGCTTCCCGTTGTCGGATTTCCACTGGCATAAACGTGGGTACCGGCACCGAATGACATCACAACGCAAGGCGGGGTACTCTGTACTGAATTCGAAAAATGGCTGCATATTACTGAGCCGGCCGATGTGCAATATCTTTCCCAACATCGCATACAATTCTTACATCGCTAGTCAGCTATATTAAATAAGGCTTTTTCTCACTTCTTAAAATTAAAATTCTTTATGGACATTATAGCAAGGGGGGTTAAAGCTTTACTAAATTTTTCTCTATTACTCTGTCATAGGAAAAAAAAAAAACTGCAAGCTTTGCCATTTTAATTATTATTCCTTTTATAGATTCTTATATGTTGACAAAATCAGTTTAAAGTTTACCTCCGCTGCTTTTGCAGGAGCACTGCATATGTTCTCCAAGACAATCGTAATCATTTTCATCCTTGCCATTTAAATTACTCGAAGACGGGTTTGTAATATATTTATGAGCTCCTTTTTCGTTTTATAAAAATACCCCAATATTTAGTATGACAAAATCACAACGCTATATTTATAATAAAATCACATTGTTAGGACAGCATTCTATGTGTGATGTAGTAATATATTCAACAAAATACTTTTTAATTCAATTTAATTTAATTTTAATTCATGGCTTGGCATGCCATCCTGATCTTTTTGTTGTGCATGTTCTTATGACCAAATCGCATTTTTGTTTTACTTCACTTATTATTTTCAAGGTGCCGCTTGTATTGTGCTTCAGCGGCAGCCTAATGCATAACCAATCGACAAAGAAAGTGTTTCAAGTCCCACCCCAAAGTACCGAAGTGTCACTGAAGAAGTATCCCAGCTGGTTTAGCACTTTCAGTACTGGTACTTGACCGGAAGTCAATGGAAAAGCTAAAATATCGAAAGTACCATACTTGTTGCAGTGGAAAAGTGCCCTAAAAGGGAAAAGGGTTCTTTGTTCGATATTAAAACAGAGATACTGTCTGATCAGTACAGATTCTCACCGTAAGAAAAGTTGCCAATGGTGGCGCTGTATTTCCCACTGGGGGGGTTGTAGATCTGCCTCGCATCTCTCCGTGGAAGTGGAGAAAGCTTCTTCATCACCGGCCCGGACCCCGTCTCCTCCCCAGATGGCCGCTTCTGACTGTGGGAAGATACAGAAGGGTTGTGGGAGGATCATTAAAAACTTTGCTCTCATCTAGCCGTGGCCCAAATGGCCCAGTGCCACCGTGCGTCAGTCGAGTGCAGGACGACTTCTCCCGCACAGATTTGGGGACAGGAGAGAAACACGGGAACCTACCCTGTGACTTCCGTCTTTTGCACCGGCTTCCAGGACAATGTTACTGTACTCTTGTAGGAGGGTGGGTTGTGGAACAAATCCTACAGGATAAAATGCAAAACAGGAACTTACACATAGGTAAGGTACCAGAATATATTCTACATAGTCATTGCTAACTTTGCGATACCACTTTTTCTGTTCTCTACCAGGCTAACTCCCTCTTATAATGATGCACAATGCTGCTAAACACTAATGTACCTTTCAAGAACTTAAGGGGTTGCATGCATTTAAAAAAAAAAAAAACACCTTTAAATGCCTTTTACTACTCCCTCCACAAATGTTCATTTAGGTCAGGGGTGTCAAACTCCGGTCCTGGGGGGCCAGAGCCCTGCACATTTTTTGGCTTCCCCTCATTTAACACACCTGATTCAACTCCTTGTGCTAATTACCACACAGCTCTTCAGCTGAACCATGTATGGAGGAACAGGGAAAGAACTAAGCTATACAGGGCTCTGGCCCCCCAGGACTGGAGTTGGGCACCCCTGATTTAAGTGGTTGAATACCTGGCTTTTCATTTTTTCACTTAACTTTTGTAGGGCCATATTTGTCATTCCTAATCTAAACTCACCTTTATAAGGACGTTGATGTTATTTGTAATCTTCAGGGCCACAACCTTTATTTTATTCTGGAAAACAGAATCAGAAGGTGTTTATTGGTACGCGCCGCTAATCACTGTAAAGGAGCGGACGGGGGTCTGAGCCTAGAGCATTGTGGGCCAGGACAGACCTCCTCTGTCTTCAGAGCATCCCCAGTCTTCCCCTGAAGTGCCACTCGAAGCTGGCGGATGTAGACCTGAAGTCCTCGGGCAAAATACTGTAACCTACAAAAAAAAAAAAAAAAAAAAAACGGGTAAGGGACATCAGGGTGAACTCAAGAAATGAAAATCACAATGGAGAGCAGAGTCTGATATCCGCATTAATAAGTGCAAGAAACCCTGGTGGCACTGAGCCCCCAGGGCGTAGGACAGCACGGTGGGGAGATGCCACGTGCCTGATCTTGAAGTCCTTGAGGCGCTCTGCATTGATCTTGTCAATGAGGAAGTCGGGCAACTTCTTCCCGAGCTGGTGGAAGCTGAAGAGCAGACATTCCACGTAGCTGAACTGAAGCTTGGGCTCCTCACTTCCCGCATTCTCCCCGTTCTCCCCCTCTTCCGGGGGGAGCGGCATAAACTCCTGGGGGGGGGGGGGGGGACACAAATCAACACATCAAACCAATCAGAAGCTTTAAGCAGAACAAACGGTGTAAGAGACCTTGAGTGATAATGGTGCGTTTGATTATTTCTCTCAGAGTCCAAACTCGGATGAAAACGTCAAGAAACACGTAATTTCCCGTCGGAAACACGACTCTTATGATGTTCATGTCGGACAGAATTTTCTTTTCCGAGTTTCCCCTGTGACGTAATTTCAACATGGTGGCTTATATTTTATAAATCTTTAAAAATGTTTATTTTGTTAAATGTATTAATAGTTAAAAATGTAATTGCACATGTTTGACTTGGAGAATACCATATCATGACCGTAAACAGTATCCTATCATGCAATATCAGATTTTTACCAGACTTCTTAGTGTCTTTGGTTTGTTTGCCTCTCGAAAAGAGAATATCGCTATCAATGTACTAAAATATTTTATAAAGCTTTTAATGTGGTTTTACTAGTTTGTGTTTCTTGTTTGTTTGTCTCTGGAAAAATAATCTCACTCCAAATCTGCTAAAATATGAAGCAACAACACACAGCAGCGTGTTCATGGAGGCAGCCATGTTTGTTCCGAGATGTGGTAGCTCGAACGGGAGATTGTCAGACGTGATGTCACTCATCTCAGAATTATCAAGTTCCGAGAGAAAAACGAATGCACCATAAGCCAATATTAGATAACAGTTAAGCAACCAAGCTGGTTAATTTGTACAAACAGGGTTTGCATCTAGTTACATCTAGGCCAAGATGGAAATAATCCTGATGTCAAACTGAACCTCATAGCACTAATCAGCCTATCATGCCAACCAATCACATGGTAGTTGTAAGAACTGACAACCTATGCCCAACAAATACAATTTATTCAGTTAGTGGAGCGGGGGATGGGGAGGAGGATTTAATTAAACATATGAACTACCAGGTTCAAAAAACAATATATTTTAACATTCGATTTTCCAAATTAAACATTTCAGATCAAAAGAATCAATACTTCAGTATCAATACACATATCATTAGTAAAAGTGACTTGCGGAAGAGACGAGCGCTCCCTCAGAGGAAACTTCTATTGCTGGTGATCATTTTCCGAAGGAGATATTGTACTTTGTGGATATACAAGATAAAGACATTGACTGTGTGGTGGTACCTTGCATATTTAAAGCCTGACATGCACCAAACTGTCACTGTATTGTAGACTATGGCAACTAAAACCGGAACTATTAGGAATCTGTTTCGCCACTCGAAGCACTGCCATCCAATGGAACATGCATAATGCAAACAGCCAAAAAACACCAGCAATGTCCAACTCGTCTCCTGGGACAAGCAGGTGTTTTTCATAGTGTTTTTCTAGTGTTATGCTCTTTGCATGATGTATTTCTTAAAAATCAGATTTCAGTTTGCAGTCCATTCAATTTGTGGTTGTCATTTCATTGTGTTTTCAATTTGCTTGAGGGGAATCCTAAGGGAATTTTAAACAAAAACAGGAAATACAAAACACTTCATATGAACCGGCATACTCGTGAATATCAATGCATAACTGACACAACCAGAATGAATGGTTTTCAAAGTATGACTAAGTTAATGTTCCACACCCTCACCACGCAACGGGACGAAGATCTTCCCGGTTACTATGGAGACAGTCAAAACTCCAGCGCCTTACCAGTAACTTCTCAAACAAGATGGTCAGATTGGTTTCCAGCTTCTCCATATCACCACAGAAACGGCTCATGTCTGCCAGGAGCTTCAGGACCTGTGGAGAGGGCAGCAGCTAGTCAGAACCAGCAGGACCAGCGGTTAGCAGGCATGCTATTGATATGGGGGGGGAGGGGCGCAGCACTGACCTCTAGCTGGATGTCCAGCTCAGCCACCGGGCTAGTCAGGGAACCCAGGTTGGGCAGGACATGCTCACAGAAGTATGTCACAAACCTTGTGGAATGTACATTTTTCTACAGGCGAGGAGAGAGACAACTGGATGAGAGAACATGCAAGGGCAAGAATTACCACTGCTGGTGAGGGAGGTGGGGGGGGGAGGCTTACGGAGAAGAGGGGCAGGGCCTGCCGAGTGCACTGCAGCAGCCGGTCCACGCTGTCGGCGTCCGTGGGATCAAGCACCTGCTCCAGGAAAGCCTGCTCCACCACCAGCTCCACCAGCTGCTGCCGCCCACTCACGGTCTGCAGGCTCTTCAGGCTGGACAGGATGCGCATGAGCAGCACAAACTCCTCCCCTGTCACATCCTCCAGCACCTGTGACCCAAAGGACATGACAGGACAGGCAGCTCAGCCCAATTTCACTAGAGCACCACCAGAAAAAGTAGTTCCTGGAGGAGTGCAACACTCCACACCCAAAACTCTTAGATAGTTTGATAATTCCCCCATACGGTCCATCAGATGCCAGCTACAATATGGCACTGTCTGACTCTCCAAGTACAACAGACAGAATAAATGAGTCAGACTGCTCTATGACCAATACATGTGAACTGCTAAGAAATGCTTTTACCCATCGACTTTTTTTTTTTAATCTACAGCTTACATTTAATACCTCAATTTGTCACCAGTGCAAGCGATGTGCTCTCATCAGGGGCATAGCTAGAAACTCAGACAAAGGGCAACCTGAGCGTATAAATAGTTTTTTGTATTCAGGGCCCCCGTGAAGTGCTGGACTTTCCTGCATCTGCCTAAATATGCATGCCCCTCTGATGTCCTGTCTAGGATACGAGCTACTAGGGCCTGATCAGGCAACATGAAAGTTACAGATCCTTACTACCCGCTCCACATTTTTTACCCCTGGGGACACCCTGCAATACCACACCATGACCTCTAAAACCAAGGTAAAGATGACATAACCTGAGATTCCTAACCTAACCAACTACATCCTCGTTGCACTGCCCTGGTGACATTCTACCTGAGCACGTTTCTTTGGCTTTGTGAAAAGATCCACTTAAAATACATTCTTCTAGATGCAATTAAAATATAAAGCCTGCACAAAAACATCAAGGGCAAATGCCACAGCTGAGACCATCACCTTCTTGATCTCCATGAAGACATAATCCTCCACATCCTTTGTCATAACCTCCTCGGGCAGTGTCTTTAGTTTGGTGGACAGGAACTTTATGGCCCTCTCCCGGACGATGTCCTCACCCTGCAGAATCTGTGTGAATAGGCCTCCCAGTGTACCTGAAATTCAACAAAGAATGAAAACATAACCACCTGGTTTTGCATTCTCTCAGAAGACGGCAGGGGGCAGGGGGTGGGCACATACCCTTTGCATCCATCTTAAAGATTGAGATCAGAGCCGTGTTGACTTGGTTGAATTCGGCAGAATCATCTATGGACAAAAATGCTTTATTTTAAAGCTGCATACATCAGTCCATCCATCCTCCAACTACTTATTCATTACAAGCATGGAATAAATCTATTTTTTCTACCTTTCAGTACAGACAAAGTAAAAATCAAGAACACCAACATGCACATGCAACTTTCGTGCAAAAAAGTAATTTTATACAAACCTCAACCACATGCATAGTGTATGGGCATTGAATATGTGCATATATACACAATGGTGCTTGGACATCTTGGGAATTACTCATATGCAGAGGCAGTGTGCCCTTACCAGTCTGGAGTAATTGTGTGAGAATGTCTGCCACCCTGGGCAAGTTCTCGCCAGCGGCAAACCGTGGGAGTTCCTTGATGGCCTGTCGTCGGATCTAAAAAGGTTCAAGAGAACAGAAGGTTCAGCCTTTACCGCCGCATGAGAAAATGATTAACGATAACATGACACTCTACAAGGAGAAAGAGGTTTTAATATTCTCTACTTTCCACTAAGTTGCACCAAAGTCTCTTCAGGTTGTATAAATATATATCATAGTGCCCAAAGGACTGAGACATTGCAAAAGCAACGAAGGACCAATAGTCTTGTTTGCCGGGAAAAACACGCTCTTCTATTGCAGTGCCGAACAAGGCTATAACAAGCACTCAATGAGCACCGTGATTTATACAAGATAAGGACACGCGAGGATCGGACACGTGCAAACATACATGCCACAATCGGGAACACAAGAATTAATCATAAATACAACACCAGCAATACAAGGGCTATTTACAACACAGACACATAGGGCTATATACACGCGTTCCCGAGGTATGCCGGGATGCGCAGATCTCATCGTCGTAACAATATTTATTGTTAATCCTACCGAAACATCTTCGTCCTCGCAGAGATCAAGCTGTGCGTTGATGGCAGCATCGGCAAGCTCCGGAAAATTACTGAAGAACTTAGGAATGAACTGTGCGGCTAGACGCTTCTCCTTCGGGCCGCCTTTCACCCCGTCCAGGATCTTCTGGTATGCATCCTTGTGCTGCAAAAATAAACAAACAATCACCTTGAACAAATGCAGTATTTAATAACGTTACCTAGAGTACGAGAAAACACGTTTAAAGCTGTGGGACCAAATCAGACACGAGAATATAATTACAAAATCACGCAATACTTACAGTAATTTCTCCTGTAGTTTGAAAGACAACTCATTATTGCATGAGACTAAAAGTCTCGCAAAAATGGTGAATAGAGTGATCAGATGCCATACATGGTTAATGCTCCCAAATTTAATTCGAAGATTACTTGGATCCCAGCACACAATTCTCACGCGCTACGCGAGCGCGTGCCGCGGCCCGTACGGTGCCGGGACGGTGTGCTGTGACTAAACACTAACAGCAACACGTAGCCGCTTTAGTTATTCACTTTCTCGAATAATAGTAGAATACCTTAGGAATGAAACAGCCACCGCGTTGCGGGCCGGCTGGTTAGCCCGCGAGTGAGTCTCGGCAGGGCAGGCTACGCAGTTAGCAGGCTAGCAGGCTAACAACGCACATACACTGAAAACCGACACCGCTCAGTTACAGATTAACTATACCCGAGCTAACGTGCCCCCCACCGCATCGCCCACCGAAACAAGCCTTGAACCGTTGCTGCTGATGCTGAAGCGCTGGCCGCGACACTCACCGAGCTTAGGTTGTCCTTCGCGTCTGCCAGGATCCCATAGTTACGGTATAGCTCCTCCACAGTGGCCGCCATCAGCGTGTGTACCGATACGCCTCACTAAACGTACAACGCTCTTATGCTGTTTCTCCTTTTCCCTACTGTCCCTAGCTCAGTGCCCTACACGATCTTCTGTCCGTGGTTAGTATCGTTTCTATGCGTTATATAAACATCAGGGATAAGCAAGTAAAAAAAAACAACGGAAGAATTAACTGGAAATACCGCCAGCCTTTACGACACTGCGGCGAAAGTGAGGCTGCGCATGCGCATATGGGCCACAAACAGTGTCACGTGACGCGGGTCATTGTCATTAGTGGATCTCCTTTGTAGAAGGCGCTGCTCCCGTTGAAATGGAAACTGTAGACGCTGAGAAATAAAAACTGAAATGGCAAACAATCACGCTTATTTTGTTTCAGGATAACATTGGCGATGTATAAGAACTCTTTCCTGCATATCTCGTATACTTAAAGCGGCCGTGGTTTCAGATTTTCAGCCTGCAAAGCTGTGTCCGCGCCCCCTCCTTGAGTACTTGCAGTTCTTGTCCCCCCAAGAGGATAAGAATACTTCATAAAAACGGTAAACATTCATTTGGATTAAGTGCAGCTCGTTCAGCTCAAGGTTTGTCGACCTCCGTTCTCTAGGGGGCGCAAGCCAAAAAAAAACACCAGCGTCATAGTTTAGCCCGGGGAGTTTCGGAAGGGGCTGTTTGAGGTTTAGCGCGCAATGAGTTTCGCAAGAGAGGGTCCGGGAAGTAAATCAGACAATTCATAAGAAGACAGGGATTAGAAGGCATCGTCGCCAGGTTCTCGTGCAGTCTTTTGACGGTGAGCCATGTTTTTGTTTTATGTGAAGCTTTGGGCCAGGCGCGCCGACGTCTCCCTCGGCTTAACGGGTTCCTGAAAGTCCTTCGCCGAGTTTCCCAGAATTAAGCGCCATGTTTGGTTTTTTGTGTTCGGCTTGGCTTACGGAGTTGTTATACGGTATTCGTTTTTGGATTAGAGGTAGCTACGGTGAAGAGTGGCTTGTTACTTCATGTTTGATAGATTCGCTAGGGGTTGGGTTTCCCGGCTCCTTCTGTATTTTAACCCGGCAGTAGCTAACGTCACCCCACCCTTTGGTGTAAACGGTTTTGACGTTTATCTTAACATCAACGCTCGTTTGTTTGGTTGAATTTGTTGTCTGCTTTTTTGTGTCTGTTCATTCTCGTACCCTGTAAGTGTCTGGCAGCTGTTTGTAAACGGGCATTTCGTGGTAAACACACTTTTCCGGGTCTAAATAAGCTCGCTTTAGCTATATTTATTATCAGTTTACATTTGATTTTTAAGTTAATTGGTGTATTATACTTCTAAGCTTCCCGCAAAATTTGGACTGTGGGTTACAACGTAGTCCTTGTTTGAGGAAGATTAGATGACACTTTATTTATACCAATGTAACATCGCAAAGACAAATAACACTCGGCTTATAAGCGCCCCCCACAGAACAAATAGGAAAGTGTACAGTACAAGTCAGATGGAAATATGGAAGGTGTCTAAGTTAGTACAGGTGGAGCAATAGCCAAAGAGGGTTCTAATTGCCGGGTGGAGTTAGGGATAGACTGGAAGCATTCAGTAAATTAATGGTATTAGACACAGAGGAGGGTCTGAAGTGTTGTGTAAAGTGAATATCGTTTATTTGCAGGTCTGTCTGCTGTTTAAATACACTTTCAAAATAACCAAAGAAGAGAATTTCAGGGTCACCTCATGGGAAAATCCCTCAGTGCTGATGTGGAGCAGAGGGCAATAGAATGAATCACTGGCCTGTTGAGTTTGTGTGTCATTAAAAAAAAAAAGCTAGAGATGAGATATTAACGCATGACAATGGACACCCTGAGGCAAAGCCATGCTGAGTGAACTTGTGCCAGTGTGGAGAGACCATTGCAACAGGGTCCAGAGACCGTGAAGGAGGTGAGTTTGTTTGAAATGAAAATTTAAGATCTATTCCATTGATTTTGGTAGATTTTTTAACATGATTGATGCATATGCTAACAGCCATAAGAGATAAAGCTAGTGTCCCTTCACTTTAAATTATATTACCTTGTTTGGTTCGTTTTTGTGAACATCCGTGGGTGATTGCCATCCCAGAAAAAACAAATGAACCTGCCCACGAATCGTGTGTACTACAGAAGACTTCTTGATGACTTTGTCTCGTGCAATATTTTCTTCCTATTGTATGTGTCAGATTTTTTTGGAATCAAAAAAGTTAATCATAATCTGTTTCCTTATGAATCTAGCATTTCTTCGCTGTGCTGCATGTTGGTGAATCTGAACAATCATCTGTGATTCTGCAACGCTCCCTGATTCCTTCTGAGGTAGGAGTCACTGCATGCCTTTCTATCCTCATGTGTGGCTCTCTATGTTAGGACTCTGTGACCAGAAGGTTGCTGGTTCAAGTCACCGGAATAGTAATCTCATCATCGTTGGGCCCTTGAGCAAGGCTTTTAAACCCAAAAACTGCTCTAGGCATGCTGAGAAAATGGTTGACTTTGAGTTTGACGTTCACTTGTATGTCTCATAGGAGCGTAAAATTGGATATGTGAAAATCATGGAATTGTACTTGTGCTACAAATTACAATTTATCATTATGTCATAGGGTGCTTTTCCACTGCACCAGGTACTGTACTTTTGGTACTTGAAGGTGCTGGTTTTCCACTGGCGTAAAAACTGGCACCAGCACTGAATGACGTCAGAATGTGAGGTGGAGTATTTTTTACAGAATTTTAAAAATGGCTGTAGTATATTGTGGGGCTGGATGATGTGCATTATTAATACCAACATCACATGTTATGCACATGCAGTTCTTACATCGCACGAACCACGATAGTCAACTAGGTAGAGATCAGGCTTTTTCATACCATCATACTGCCTGGACATTATTGCACGGGGCGGTTTAGGTTTCGGTACAACATTTTTACTCTGTCATAGGGAAAAAAACATCTCAGCGAGTTTTGCAGCTTTTCAGGTATACTAAGTGTATGTTTAAAAAAATCGGTTAAGTTTACCTACACTTCTTTTACATGAGCGCTGCATTCGATCTCTTAGACAATTGTAATAATTTTCATTCTTTCTGTTTAAATCGCTCCTAGGCAGGTTTGTGAGTCATATTTATTCTGAACTTTTTTGCTTTATCAATATCTCTGTATATATTACAACAAATCATGTCACGATATTTGAAAATTTTCCAATATCATGCAGCCCTAGGTACTTTTTTTATTGCTTGTGATGCAGTCCTGATAGTGTTGTATCTGTTCTTCCAACCAGATGGCAATTTAAGCTTGAATCTCTTCATTTGTCTACACACCCATTATTATAACATTTTTAACTTTGTTAATAATTTTCTGATTCTGTAACCTTTTATCAAGATGGCGGTTGTTTTGTTTCAGAAGCAGACTATTTGCATAATCAGTCAACAAAGAAAGCATTTACAAGCCCCACCTCAAATTAGCGAAGTACCATAAATGTACCTCAGCTAGTTTGGTATTTTAGGTACTGGAACTTTTGGTACTGGTATGTACTCGACAGGAAGTCAATGGAAAAGGGAAAATACCAGATGCACCATACCTTATGCAGTGGAAAAGCGCCCATAGACGTCCTCAGATTGCTGAACTGAAGAGCTTAAATAACGTTTGAGAATGAGGTCACAAAACAGTGCTCATTGTCTTCCCCCCTTTGTCCCACCATCCCAAGATGAGCCAGTTGTTCTGTGAGACAGAGAAGGATGGCCCAGAGGCCGCATGTGGGTCGCCCGAGCCCTCGGCCTGTGCTATCAACATGGAGAAGGAGCAGGACAGCTGCTGGAGCCCCATGGACAGCCCCGCCCTCCTGCGTACAAACTCCTCTTCCTCCAGTCTGGCGGTGGCGATGCCGGCCGACCCCCAGGGCTACGACGTGGAGTTCGACCCGCCTCTGGAGAGCAAGTACGAGTGCCCCATCTGTCTGATGGCGCTGCGGGCGGCTGTGCAGACTCCTTGCGGCCACCGATTCTGCCACGGCTGTATCAGGAAGTCGCTCCGGTAAGCAGTTAAGGATCATGCTGTAGAAGCATGTCGTCCTTTTTGATAAAATTTAATTACTGTGCCCCTGTACTCTGCTGAGCAACATGTTCCAAACTCCAACACACTTTTTGTGGCAGTTTTTTTGTCCATGTTTAAGGATATGAACAGGTGTTTGATTAGCTATATTGAGTTTATAAAGGATTAATGTAATTAAAGATCTGGTCCTGGCCTGCACAAGGTTTATGGTTCTTCCTTCATTTAAATGTGTAATTTTCTACCCCCTTTTTATTAACAAGGGACGCGGGACAGAAGTGTCCAGTGGACAATGAGGTGCTGATGGAGGATCAGCTTTTTGCTGATAACTTTGCCAAGCGTGAGATCCTCTCCCTCACCGTACGCTGTCCGAACAGTGGCTGCAGCCAAAAGATGGAGCTCCGGCAGCTGGAGGTGAGTCTGAGACAGGCAGGGTATCTGTCTGTGACCCGGCAATTGGACCATCCTCAGTCTGTGACTAGATTTGTAAAGGGGCAGAACATTTCTGTGAACTTTCCAGAAATTTTCCATTCCAAGGGAAGTTAAGCTGGGGAAGTTCCATGGGAAGTTAAGCTGGTCACTGCCAGGTGTTACAGCCCCATGACTTGTGTCCTCCCAGGACCATGTGGCACAATGCCAGTTCGCCACGGTCCCATGTCCGCTGTGCCAAGATGTGGTGCGGAAGAGCCAGTTGGAGGAGCACAGCAGCCGGCAGTGTCCGCGCAGGCCCGTGACCTGTCCTGACTGCGCGCAGACGTATGTCTACGAGGATGGAATGGTGTGTGCTTCTACCAGCACTGACATGTTGTGTTGTGGCACATAGCTTTGCATGGGATTGTACCACCTTCAGCTGCTGTAGCTTTTACAAATACCCTAGCATTTCACCTTCAGCCATTTGACACATTCACCAAAAATGAGGCTATATCCTTTAAGGAAACTTAATAAAATCAGAGTATCACCTGAGCAAAACGCAGTATAATTAAAAAGCATTACTTGAATGTTTAAGAATTCACAGTGCATACAGGGCATCCCCCATGTTGTACTCTGTGCTTCCTGTCAAACCCCATAACCCTTTACTGCAGTGTTTCCCAACCTGGTCTTTGGGAATCCACAACCGGGGTTTTGCACCCACCCGGCTCCCTGCCAGACATGCCACATTTTTTATCCTAGTAGGGAAGTGGGAGGAAGCAAAAACGTGGACTGCTCACGTGTCCCCGAGGAACGGGTTAGGAAACACTGCTTTACTGAATGAGTGGTATGGATAGTGGATGTTCAGATGCTACACTGCTCTCCTTCCCACCGTCAGCTCCACGAAAAGCTGTGCCCGCTGGCTTACGTGGTCTGTGACTACTGCAGCATGGAGCTGATCCGAGACCAGGTGAGGTGAGAGGGCGCCACACATACACCGTGATCACTTCTCTGTTCACATGTACCAGTACCTGTGCCAACGAGAACCGCCAACATGTTGAGGGTTGATATAGATGGGGAAAAAAAGGCCATTCAGCCTCCTTTCTCCCTCATCAGATAATCAGCCTCCTAAATGAAATAGCGTAGCGGTGATAAAATACCTGCGCATCAGCAGTGTAATGAAGAAGCCCCCAAACCCCCCTTTGGCTGACGGTTTGTCCCCTAAACGGCTCCATAAAGCTCATGTTGCTCTGTTGCTGACAGCTGGCATCGCACTGTGACACGGACTGTCTCAAGGCCCCGGTCGCCTGTCCATTCAGCCCCTTCGGCTGCCAAGAACGGGTGAGTCCCTGGCCAGGCCCCCCCACCCCACAAATGGTGCTCGTCCCAGCACACGCGCTCGCTGACAACGCTGCCCCCACCATTGCAGATGCCACGGAACGACCTGGCGCAGCACATGCAGGAGTTTACGCAGATGCACATGCGCTGTATGGCCGACCGTCTGCGCGGCCTGGGTAGCGGGTGTCCCGTGGCGGGGGCTCCATCGGCCGAGGAGCGGAGCTGCGGGGCCAGGGCCGGCGCCCGGTCCACCCCCCCCTGCGAGTGTGGCCCTGTCCTACAGCACATGCGGGAGACGGTGCGGGAGCTGGAGTGCCGCCTGGTGCGGCAGGACCAACAGTTGCGTGAGCTGAGCATCCACAGCGAGACGCAGGCGGCGCAGCTGGCCGAACTGCGGCGGCAGGCCCGCGTGCTGGAGGAGCGCGTGCGCGAGCAGGAGGCGCAGCAGTGTCAAGGCGTCTACGTGTGGCGCGTGGAGGGCTTCTCCGCCCACCTGCGCTCCCAGGAGGCCGGGCAGCCCGTCGTGATTCACAGTCCTGGCTTCTATACAGGCCGCCCAGGCTATAAGCTGTGCCTGCGGTTGCACCTGCAGACACCCAACGCTCCCCGCTGCTCCAACTACATCTCCCTGTTCGTGCATACCATGCAGGGTGACTTCGACAGCCAGCTGTCCTGGCCCTTCCAGGGCACCATCCGGCTGGCCATTTTGGACCAGGTGGATAACCAGCACCACATGGAGGTGATGGAGACCAAGCCAGACCTGCTGGCCTTCCAGCGGCCCACGTCACAGCGAAACCCCAAGGGCTTTGGCTACGTCACCTTCATGCACCTGAACGCCCTGCAGCAGCACCAGTACGTGCGCGACGACGTGCTCCTGGTGCGCTGTGAGGTCACGCCACGCTTTGACAACTTTGTGCGCCGAGAGGGCTTCCAGCCACGCGGCCCCGAGCCCTCCCTGTGAGCGGCCCCCAAAGGGAGAGGCTGGGAGGGGCCCCAAAGAGGGGCTCTGCTGCTCCACTGCCTACTTTGATGATATGGGTGCCTCTGAATGTGTGTTAGGCAGTCAGACAGCTGATCTGACACCTGAGCAAGTGATTAGAATCTTGGTATGTCACTGGGAGAAATTCCTTTAGACAATCCACCTGAAGATGAAAATCTAAGGTTTTTCCCCTTTCATTTTGGAAATTGTTCTCATTTTTTTTAAAAATCGTGGTTATCGGAATATTCAGAATGTATTTGTTCTGTTTTTATGCCTGTGTGCCAGTAAGCGTGTTCCTCTTGGGCTTTCCGGAAGACCCCTCTGGCTGTCATGCACCTCACTCCCAGAGACTGCTCACGCTCCTTATGCATTTGAAGTGCTGTTTTACGCCCTCTGTCACTCTGCACTTTTAAATCATTATTTCTAACCAGACCTGAATGCTGAGGAATGGCTTATTGCTTTTCTACCAGTTCTGCATTGGGGTGTTCAGCCCAAAGACTAATGCCAAAGCGGCATCACGATGGTGACATGACCCATCACATCTGAATTTCGTTCTCAACAGGTGTGGCTCCTTTGGTCTTACGTGCGAACCAGTGCTTGAACTTTATTTACCTGCCCTGGCAACACTCAGCAGATCATAAGACCAAACTATGGACCTGAGTTTCAGTAACCCAGGTAGTGGATCACATGCCCTAGTGCCATGACCCTGAAAGTGAGGTGCTTTTGGAACCAGGGTGCTTCTGTGGATCAAGCAGTGCTGATGTTTTTGTACTGTGTGATGCTGCCTATTTCATTATTTAACAATGTGGAAGGAACTGTTCACCTTAGAGTATTGTAGCAGATGTATATGCTTCAAAAACTCCATTCCTGTGTACCTTCCGACCGCTGATCGTGTTACAGCTGGTGATTATGTAAGGGTAGTGTGTCATACTGCAGGTTAGAACACTGTGCTGTGGGCGGGAAGGTCACTGGTTCACATCCTGCGGTCAGCTGAGCGATTTCAGCGTGGGGCCCTTATGCAAGGCTCTTAACCCCAAGTGCTGGGGGGACGGTCTGCCCCTGCTTTCTCATGTGTCACTTTGGGTAAGTCTTAAGACATGGAACCGAAAGGTAATGGCTGAATCTAGTGATCCTGCATCGCTTAGCTTTCTGTAAAAGAGCCAAATGTTTGTCATTTGCACAATTATAGTAAAACTGAAATTTGAAATGGTTCATGAAAATGCATTTATTTACCATAACACTTAAAACTTCTTACCATTGTTAAAAATACTAACAGATTCCAAGAGGGAACAAATGGTTAGGCACCCACCAGACTAACAGGAACTGAACAGGCTTTTCTTAAAAAAGTCAGTCATCATACAGTAAACCAATATGAAAACCATGTTTGTAAGTTTCATACAGAGTACCGCAATCAGGTTTTCATCACATACTCACTGCTCCAGAAAAGCTAAAATCTCCTTCCTATAAGAGCCTACCAAGGGTTAGGGTTTAACGCTGTGTGGACAGTGTAAACCCCCAGCAGGGTTCCACACACTGCCACACGAGATTAATGGGTTTGGCCAATCTCACATGGACTCTGTCAGATGAAAGCAGAGCCTGTTGCTATGCTACCTGGCACAGCACCAGTAAAATCTAGGTGCTACCATCACAGTGGCTGTGCCCGGGCTGGGCTAGAACTCATGGAAATGGCCACCCTCCAGCACAGACAGGCGGTTTCACCAGCAGGGGAGAATAGCCCTCTACCCCCGAGTTCTCAGTCAGAGACACTTGCCCAGACTCCAAAGTCCCGCTTGCTCTCAGTTGCCAGCATGCCCCCCTATGTCTTCTAGCTTGGAGAAGGGCAGCTGAACTCGGCACGGTCTTGCTGGAGGGGCAGCGCCATCGCGTCCTTCAAGATGAGCGGCTTGCCGGCGACGTGCCTCTGTGCCGTACGGAGGTCCTCCCCAGAATCACGGGCCACCGCTCTCGCAGGGCGCTTTGCACCTGTTATAGTCAGCAGCTGCAAGTCCGAGTGGGCGCTGGCCACCGTGTGGCGCCGCATACCCCCTGCCTTCTCTAGGTAGGCCTCTCCCTCTTGCTCGACGAGGGGTGTCAGGGAGGAGGAGGAGGAGTCCACGGTGTGCTGGGTTATCAAGATCTCTGGCTGATCGAGGTGGGCAGTCCTGGACCAACCAGGCTGGTGCTCTGGAGGTTACAGAGTATAGGATGGTTTTGATGTGCTGGTTTTGTGACCAGAGCCAGCAGTCACCACTAGTATATTCAGCTCCTACTCATGTAATCAAAATACTGTTAGTCATATTAAGGGATTGGTCTCTCATTTGGGGGCCATAGAGTAATTGGGCACATGGTGTGCTGCACAGCCTCCTGTTTATGCAGGAGTACTTTGCCACTTGGCCGCCAATGTAACCCGAAGGAACCAATCAGGGTGTTCGAGGTCTCTGAGCTCCGCCCCTGTTCGCAGACCCATCTTGGGGTTCAGCTTTTTGGGCTGTTCTACATCAGTGGGTGAACCACATGTGCCTTCACTCCACCATTTACATCATTACACAGTTCTGCCCAGAACACAGCTTCAACCTCTACACATAACCTTCAAGTTCACTACTTCATATCAGTTTTATAGAATCACTACTGGGTGGCTAATGCTGGTATGGTTAAACCAGAGTTCCTTAGGAACCCCCAGACAGTCCATGGTTAACTGAGAGGGAGCAAAAATGTGGGCTGTCTGGCAGGGTGCTGAGAGGGAGCAAAAATGTGGGCTGTCTGGCAGGGTGCTGAGAGGGAGCAAAAATGTGGGCTGTCTGGCAGGGTGCTGAGAGGGAGCAAAAATTTGGGCTGTCTGGGGTCCTTGAGGACCAGGTCGAGAAACACTGGATCAAACTCGTATATAAAATCCAAGCAGATGGTTTCCCACGTAGATAGAATACTTACTGTTCTTCACAGAGGTGACCTTCAGTGTTGTAGCTAATGGCTCACCTATAACGCATGTGGCCGGGCTCCGGTGCAGGTAATTGCCCAGATAGGGGGACACCACCATGTCCACTAGCTTCTCCAGCTGACAGTATTCCTGACTGGGCCCACTGGGCTCATGGATGCCCTGCAGACGAACGGGTCACAGACTCACTTGATAAAAATGGTCACAGCGACCCACAGGTACTCGCCCATCACACAAAGCCTAAGCACCAACCGAAATGTGGTGGATCTACGAAGTAAAAAACACGCAACTGTGTAAACAAAGAGTGGTATGCTTGGGGGGGGGGGGCACACCTGCAGCACAAGCAGCATCTGAGTGATGGCGGGAGGGGGCAACGTTGGCACCGGGGGAAGCAGTTCTTCCAGCTGCAGCTTCAGCAGTACCAGGTCCCTGAAGCCCAACAGGGCCATCTGCCTCACGCTCAGCTCCTGGCCCTGTACCCACAGACAGGGAAGATCCAGTAATGGTTCCTCCAGAGCTCAGACAGAACGCTCACGTTCCTTTCAAGGGGTCAGTATAATTCCCATGTAATGACATAAAATAGCATTGAATATGACTTGAAAAAGTAGATATATATGCTAACTGATTGTATAATGCATATCTGCTGTTATTACTAAAAAAAAAGTACAAATTCAAAAGAAAATTCAACAGTCCATTCACCACTTAGAGATAGAATTGCCACTGTCACTGCAGAGGCCCATTGCAAAGTTTACCAAGGGGACTCCCCAGGTCGGCAAATCGTAGCAAGGGCCCAAACCCCCCTGTCGCCCCCACCCACAACATTTTTGATACATTATCAATTCTGCCAAGTAGATCAATCTTTTGTTTTCTACAGACTATAGAACAATGTAACATCATTACACTATTCAGCAAACCCCCCCACCCCCCCTGCCTCAGCAAGTATCTTAGAGGTTAGCTGGTGATTGGTGGTATTGGAGATATTTAAACAAAAAACATAAGGTGTTAGGTCAAAAAGACATCATAACAACAATGAGGTACTGCAATACTGTAAAATTTCCACTTTGGTAAAATACTGAGAGACCCGGTACCTGTACTGGGTAAAAAATAGCCTGTAGCGTTGGCAGGATCTCCATGAAGAACCTACTCCACATCTCAGACAAAATAAGAAGCTGGCCATCACCTGGAAAAGCATCGAGACAGAGACTGAGGCTTCTGGGCAGAGACAGTGTGCCATTCTTACACGCTCGTAGGAGTTTTACTTACACAGAGGTATTCTGAGGACAGATTGAAAAATGATTGGTTCAGGGAGATAACCAATCAGATTGTACAGGAGGTGGATACAAGCAACTGGCAGAGGTGGGACCGGCATCTGATTGGTTGGTCCTGCCTCCTCTACAATCTGATTGGTTCAGAGAGAATACCAATCATTTTCAGTTCTGCCCTCAGAACATTTTTGTGTAAGGTAAACTCCTATGAGCCATTCTTACACAGCACATGCGATAATCTTTCTAGACCAGCGTTTCCCATTCCGGTCCTTGGGGACCCGCAACAGTCCACGTTTTTGCTCCTTCCTACCTTCCGCCTGGCAAGGAGCTGGGTGGGAGGGAAAACTTGGACCGTCTGTAGGTCCCTAAGGACCGGACTGGGAAAACACTGGTCTAGACGCTACCTACCCTCACACAGCTGGATCTTCTCAGCAATGTGTTCCAGACCTTTGTTCAGGAGCTTATTCTGAAACATACCATAAACAATAACTCATAACTCAACTCTGGAAATCATTTTCTTTCACCTGGGGTCTCCCTCATTTTCGTGTTGGACACAGCCACAGAGAACTCGCCTGGAAATACTCTTTGAAGAAGGAGCCCAGTTCTGTCTTGAGTAGCCACCTGTCACAGAGTAAGAGGGGAAACACCATTTGGAACAAGAAGGTGACATAGTGCTCATTCTCTCATCCAGATCACATGACCGCCTGACCGTTCACCTGATGCTCTCATTGAGGGAGAAGAGCTCATTGCTTTGTAGACCTCCTCCCTGGAAAACCTTGATCACAGCAGACTGGACGCTGAGGACAACAGAAGAGTCAAGTGAGGACGATACAGGAAAGGTCTGGCATGTAGGTTTCATATGAACACTGGTGGAGCTTCTATTCCATCCCCAACAACTACATAATTTAGCACTTTTAACTTTGATGTCCCCCTCCCAGGCCCCTTCAAAATCTATGCCCATGGTTGCTTGTGGGGGGGGGGGGGGGGTCGGAAGGGGCACAGCAGGGACTGCGAGCTCAAAGCAGCAGGGACGACAAAACAAGTGCCGTCACTCATGGCAACGGGAGGGATCTGCTGCCACATGGCGCCTCCCCGCCGTGTCACGGGGCCGTTCCCACAGACAGCCGCCTCTGAGTTTAGCCCTTAGGTTATTTCCAAGGGGTGAATAACGACCCAGGGAATAATAACGTGGCGAGTCTTAGCGCGAGTGTGTCGCACACATCCTGAGCACAGTGGCAGCGCTGACTTTCCGCACACACGGCAGATTAATCCCTAGATAAGACAGTCGCTGACAATCTGCATGGCAAGAAACCCGAAAAATCAGGTCGATCTCACCAAAAAGCAGAGCGTCTGTGGTAGATCCGATCTTTGGCTCTACACTGCGCTCATGGACTGCCCTTACAAGAACAAGGAGAGGAAGGTCTCTGTGGTACCCTCAACTGTCCCCAGTGCTGTGTCCAGGCTCCCCGAAAATCAACCAACACAATGCCAATTTCCACCACCACCCCCCCCAGAAGGAAGCACCAACGATGACCCCTAACATGCTTCCATCCGGAAACCAGCAGTACAGGCTGTTTCCGTTTCCCCTACAAACAAGGGGGCAAAAAGCTGCCTCGACAGAAATCGCTCATCACTCCAGTGGTACACCAGAACCCCCCCCCCCACCGACGGCTTGCTCGCTCTTTTCCAACCAGCACTTCCGGACAGACAGGCTCCCAACTCTCACTGGACACCTCTTCCCATTCTCCGAAGTGTCCATGCAAGTTATGGCGTTTCTGACACGCGGTATTGGGGATGCCCTGACCTGTTCCAGACGCTGGCGTTAGTGAGCTGTAACGCAGGTGCACTGGCGTGGAACCGGGGCAAGTCTGTCAGCACCGGGGAGCTCATGAACCGCGGCCGGGGCCGCCGGAGCGAACCCATCCTGCCCCGGGACCTGGAGGGGGTGCTTCAGGCGTCAGAGTAGGGTCCAGTTCAAAGAAGGAACACCTCCCTACACATGGCAGGAACTGTGGTGTAAAAGCAAAGAGAGAAAAGGAGAGTAGGAAAGAAGTCACATGATCACAGGAGCCATAACAGACCACTTCCTCCATAACAAACCCCCCCCCCCCCCCCACCCCCCCCCCCCCACCGACCCAAACAGTCAGCAACACAGACCCACACTGACGTTAAACTCCGGTGGAGATAAAGCCTCACTAGGCTTCCCATGCATGCAGTGCTGCTCTGGTTCACAGCATGCCTGGCCAGCCACGCTTTTCAGCCCACTGACACTCGCGACGGTCGTCTCTGCATCATTCTGAAAGTAGCGAGGTCTGCAAAGAAGCGGAGTTTATACAACTTCCTGCCTTACCACCCAAACCTCAGACCTATTTACTCGGCTGGGTACTCTGCAGAGTCAACAACATGAAATGCTGACCCATCTCGGCTGAGATGGCAAGAGTAAAGGGGGTCTGATAAGCACTCAGGGCATAGATCCCCAATGCCGGTCCTGGAAGGACAGTCTACACCACAGTTTGCAGAATTTCCTGCTCAAATCTAGCTAGGTTTAGCTAGATTACAATAGACAGATTATCTGAGGGATAGGATCGCAACAAAATGTAAAAGGTGGGTCATTATGGACCAGTCTTCATGTGAGATATAGGAACGCAGCCCACGTAGGGAGACAGGGAGCAAACGTCACCAAATGTCACCAAAATGTCACCAGTGGCACATTCGGGCATGCACACAGTGCTCCCTCGAACCTGTGAATCCTCTCATCTGGGAAACGCTGGCTTCTGACTCAGTCCCATGTCCCATTTCCCTCCCTTGGTACCCCGATCCTTCCCCAGCACTGAAGCCCTCACGCCACCAACGGCGGCATCTGGGAGTCGGTGACGTAATGCGTGTCCGTGTCTCATTTCCATCGCTTGCCATTATCTCCATTTCAACACCTCAATGCAAGATAAATGAATTTTAGGGGTGGGACAGTGTCCTGCTGCTGAGCGCATCTGACTGCCTCCAAGTCTGGGAATGTCTCTCATAACTCCAAAAAAAATAAAATAAATAAATTTAAAAAGGCATGCATAAACTAAACGATATCTGAATAAAATTTTCAAAAACATTCTGCAGTCTTTACATTTGCCCAATAACCTTGTGACTTTACAGGCCACAGTGGGCGTTGCCTGGTGATACCAAGCTCATATTTAGAGATCTGCTGCGTTTGTTCGTCGGCACCATGACGGACACTGCAGCAAAGCGCTTGGAAGCAGATCTGCGATCAGGCGGACGGGACTAGTGCCCCCTGCTCAGCATCTGGAATGCTGCAAACAGGAAAACAGGAACTTTGCCATCTGTGTGTCTACACTGTCATTCAGTGCTTGGTCATGATGTCTGTCAGACAGCAGATAATTACTGATTAGTGCTACGAGAAATTGTCAGAGATGTTTATTATATTGTGATTGAAGTACCACAAAAGTACACAGTGTACCTGTGAGAACTGCAGGCAGCAAAGATTAAAAGAAAAAAAAGAAACAAAAAAGCTGTCACTGTTTTTGACCTCATTTTGAAGTACAAAACGGGTGGAGCTCTTGATGCACCCAAAAAAACAAACAGTGAGGGTTTGAAGTGGGAGTTTAGTACAGTAATCACGCCATGTCATCCTCGTGGTAGGTAAAGCCTGGGGCATTAAACCCCAATGCTCTATTACGGGAAACTGTTCGTTCAGATGACATAATGAAATTATGACTGGTGCACCACAAAAGCATCGCTGTTGCTGTATAAACAGTCAAAGCATGTTTTAGTGTACACACCGCCCCCAGCACACGAAATAATCATTAAGCACAATTAAATTGCAGCACAAACTAGGCACATCGCGTCGCCGATTCTGCCGATTCTTTCTTCCTCTAAAATGATTATTCGGGGGGGGGGGGGGGTTTTCCATGCATTGTGCTGAGCAATTACCAAAAACACCTCAGCAGGCACTTTTGTCCCATCCGACCTGTTTTGAGAGCTGTGGAGTGGGAAAAGGGGGATGCACGATCATTTATGGAGCATGGTGCTGCATACCCATCTGAAAGTGCAATCCTGCACAACATGAGCTTATCGCGCATTTCGCACACAGAAAGTTTTCATACGCGCCTAAAACATAAAGCAGTTCTCGTGGCGAACTTCATCTAAAATATGTGAATATGCCAGAGATCTATCAGCAAAGAGTGAGTTAAAGTTCATGGTTTAATGGGAACGAGGTGCAACTTACCCCCAAAGTCCGCGTCTTCTTTTAAACCTTACTTCCTATTTATTTAGTTTCTCTGTCAAACAGACGCCAAACCCAGGTAACACTTAAAGTAAACTCTTTCTCGTTCTCACTTAAGGATGTGAAATATCGTAAGTTAATTCATATGGTGCATCTAGGCTTTGCCTGGCTAGTCTCCAGCAGCAAATGAGATGCCGAAGTGCCGCGCTTCCCATTCGGGTGCAGTGCCCCGGCCTACCGGCTACTTCAGCTTCACCAAATGCATCGATAAAATCGAATACCTTTACAAGTCCAAGAACTAAAACTAACACAAGTTTCGCATTGTCCTCCTTCTGCCTCACATGCACTTCGAGAGAAGGACCCAGGAGGGTGGCGCCCTGCCCTCCCCCAAAGCGCCGATTGGCTCGCTCACATTATACCGATCAAATATTCATAGCCTCATTCATCACCTACGATACATGGCGTCAGAGGCGCCTCATTCCTTCACAGCTCGCAACCTTCTGTGATTTGCAATAATTTATAGCTGTGTTATTTTCCACGCCTTTGCATGCTTTTTGTTGCCTTTTGTGCAGTTATCTCATTTTTCAGTAATACTCAAGTAGGATGCAAGTACAACATGCTCGCATCTAAACGGGAGATTATCTTTAATTAGATTATGCATTTATTTTTAAAGTAACCCGATTGTATGGCTTGGAAGAGGCTTCTCGGAAACCCGAATCTTTTCAGGTAATAATTCAGGACATGGCTTAGTTAACAGTCAATCTTTGACTTGAAGACTCCGAAACCCCCCTTTTGGCTGCATTATTATTATCAATATATAAACTATGCATTGAACTGTCATTGTCATAATTTCTAATTTGAGGGTTCAAAATATTATTGGTTTAAGTTTTTTTTTTACCGCTTTTGTCCCCCACAATGGACTTTCTGTAGTTTATTTTATGTGTGCCTGCTACGCAAGAATTTAGTCATCACTAAATTTGTACCCTGTTATGCTTTCCCATGACCTATTTAGAGACTGAAAACCTGACCCTCTAATTAACAATATGAAGAAGGTCTGTAGCTAACAACGTAGAATTCGAAAAACAGACTGAGGGACGGAGATTACTAACGGAAACCCATTTCTAACTACAGGCTAGAGTGACATCTGCCTCGCCGCTGACTAGATCCGGGAAGCCGGGTGGTTCATCGCCACCCCGTTAACAGAATTTGCGACATTCTACATGCATCTGAGAAGACTTGTAGATGTGACCATTTCGACAAATGAAATCAGTTCGGCTGCCTGTACAGAGAACAGGGGCAGAAAAAAACGTTTAACACTTTGCATTCCATAGCATACAGCACTAAAAGTCTAGCGGTAGGATGAGAAATATGTCCGATGGGAATTTTTGATTCAGTACCATCGTTCAATCAGCGTTCACTTATAGAATCTCTAGGTGTTAATGATATGAGCGTATATGAAATACTTATAAAAGGTATGAAGCAGTTGTGTCACATTGCGTGGTGTATTTTTCTGAAATTAAAGGATAGTACTTGAATTGTCTTAATATCCAAATAAATTATAGATAGGATATTATGTCAGGGTAAGCAAAAATCAGCATTTGGTGGTAGTCATGCTATAAAACATAATGCATGTAACCTAAAAAGTCGATCTGCTTTCATTAAACAGTGTGATCCATCTCCTATAACTGCTTTTCCAGTGAAGGACCCCAGCAGAAATGGAACCTGTACAAGGAAATACAGAATGCAAGGCAGCGGACTGTCATCCATGCATGGATCCGCCTTCCAACCAGTATCCAAGGAGGTGGGGGAGGGGGATTCGGAGAGGGCAGCCAGCCCTGGGCCCAACACATGAAGGGGGGACCTGCACCCTCCCCGATAGCAAATTTTACCAAGTGCCACTTTTCATAACAGATGATTACTCAAAATTTGGAACACTTTACCAAGAACCGCACCAAGAACCTCCCAACGTCCCTCCACCCATTCCCCCCCCCCCTGCTGTGAGACCTCTCCTCTGCCCCTGCTTCCAGTTACTGGTCGTGGTTCTGTGGGAGCACATGCACACAACTCCTGGGATGGCATAGCTTGCTGTCCAGCCAGTCACAACTATTCTTATTCCTTATGTTGATCCCTTCTCCTCATGAGAATGATAACAATTCCAAAATAATTATCTAAAAATATTTTGATGCGGAATAATAAAACATCATCAATAAAACCCTGAATAATATTTGTGTTTTTAAAAATGAAGGGTTACATCAGAGTTTTTCAGAAGCAACGTGACTTTATACCCCCCCCAAGCCCCCCCAGTTCAAATGCTCCCAATCCCTGCTCACCCCTTATGACGTGACCAATGCCCTCCCCCATTCCTTCAACCTCGTTTGTTGATTTTTTTTTCACTCTTATCCCCCAGCAGAACAATAACATTCCCTTTCACCCTTCAAAAGCTCCATGCCATTAATTTATTCATTCACCAGATGAAAGCAAATCTTACACATAAGCAGGGGATTTGTATCGATGAGGAAGTGACCCCTGACTAATTCAGAAGTCTTGTAACTGATGTTGGGAGGAAGTTAATTACTGGGGAAAGGTTATGCACAACTACTATTATAATTAGCTGCCTGAGGCAGATACAGTACAAATCAACCATTACATTTCTTCTCTGCGCACAAATTCAAATACAAATAATGAAGTGGCAAAGTGGGTTGGTCTTTCTGATCTTCTGGTAAACAAGTTACGTTTGGTGTTTCAGTACTGAAATATTGTATTTCTGCTATTTCCACTTTCATAGTAAATTACAGGTTCTATTTTAAACTTCAAAGTAGTTCCTCTTATCCATACCTCAAATGTAACCTTGGAGACAATTACACAATTCCTCTAATGTGTTGCAAATCATTTACACAGGAGCTGAAAAGTAGGGGAAATACAAGACAAAAAAGAACACTAGTAGGCTTGGATGTCGGACATACTTGGATTTTAAGGCCTATAGGATTTAACTAAAAACCCCAAGGTGCCTAGTACAGACAATTAAATGACATTTAATAAAACCAGCTCAGTAGTGAGATTTTTATTTATTTAATGATGAACTTGTTTATAAGCTACACATATAAATATATGTACTCTTCTAATTTTACAGAAAATACCATAGTTACATGTAAGTGGGTGTAACAGAAACTCATATTTATTCATATTCAGCAAAGGTTTGAGGTTTCAAACAGTCATATGTATACTAAGTAGTAATATTGAGAGATTTAGTTCAATATTTGAGAGACACAAGAACATTTAATAACAGGCTTGTTTTGAGGATAATGTAAGCTGCAATTTAAAGTCTTATACAGTGTCAGTCAGAAGTCTGGACACGCCAAGCCACCTACAAAGGAGAGTGATAGTGTTGCATCACATGCCCAGGTCACCTGACCTAAACACAGTAGAAATGGTTTTGGAGGAGTTTTACCAGGGAGTAAAGGAAAACAGCCAATGAGAGCTCAGCATATGTGGGACCTCCTTCAGGACAGCTGGAAAAGCATCCCAGGAGGCCATCTCATGATACTGCTGTAGAGGAGACAGTAAGGTCAGCCAGTCCCTGGAGCAATTGGGGTTAAGGGCCTTGCTCAAGGGTCCAGTAGTGGGATCACTCTGCCAACGCAGGGATTTGAACCAGCAACCTTCAGATCCCAAGTCACAGAGCTGCTCCCCCCACAACAAATTATTATTTTTAAATACTATTTTTGGTCAGTACATAATTCCATATATGTATCTTACAGTTTTGGTGTCTTTATAAATATTCTGAAATGTAGAAAATAGTACAAATTAATAGCACAATGCTTATCACAGCAGAGACACCACCGTGTCTGTGATAGTCCTTGAAGAACGGGATCTGGACAGGTCACGCGACAGTCCACACAACTTAAAATGTATTTCCTAAGGAAGCTCCTTGCTACGGAAGAAGATTAGGGCCACCATGAAAATATTATTTGAATTCCGACATTAATCTCAGAATTCTGACTTTAGAAAAAAAGTCAGAATTCTGAAGTCAGAATTCTGAGGAAAAAAAGGCAGAATTCAAATAATATTTTCATGGTGGCCCTAATCCTCTTCAGTACCTTGCTATATTTTGAAACTTATCAGAAACTTATACTAGCAGGAAACACAACAAAATGCTCAATATGACATGACCTGCCCATAAATCAAATACGTCATCATGTGCCATATATCCTAGAAAAATATTTTATATTTATATTGCTTTTTCATTGCTTTTCATGGATGTACTGTGATGAACTTTAGTGCATTTTCAGGATGGCATCGCAGACACTTTAAGCTTCAGGACTATTTTTCCCATAACCCCTCTGTTTATCACGTGGAACAGCCCACATGACTGAGTCACATGACCAAAAATGGCCGCGTTAACAGAGGAGTATTTTGACGCCTTTCAGTTGCTTTTAAAGGTAAAAACAAGATTGATGTGTCGTATCCAAGTTGCTCGTCAAAAAAGAAACGCATATAATATATGTATATATATGTTATATGTATGGTGGACGTTACGGTCTGAATATACATTTGACGCTTAGTAGTTAGCAATCAAGAAGCACCTGACAGCTACTGTTGTAGTTTGTCAGTTTCCGTTGGTTTGAGTTTTGCGATACTACAGCCTAGCTGGTGATGACAGGCAGCTCTGCAATCCTGTAACCGTCTCGTTTCCAGGCGCCTTCCAAGGACGCAGTGAGGCAGCTCTGCAGGGACAGCTTCTCCACCGGAGCTCCGGAGTCCCGGCGACTCGCTGACGAGGCGGCCGAAACCCTGTCGGTGTCCGTTGGTGAGGCTCAGCAGGTGAGCTTCACACCGAAGCCGTTTTTTTCCCAGTACGGTTCATAACCAAAGTTCTTTCCTCCTGAATGTGCCCTTTCTTGTACTCCGCAGCTTCTCAGGGCTCTGCACGCCCTCACCCGTCACGTGCTGTTCCACAGCTTAACGACCCCCGAGCAAATCCTTGCGTTGTTCCCTGATGCTTTCCATCCCAACTTGAAAAATCTAATGACTAAGATCCTTCTAGAGCACAGGTAGACGACATATCTACCTCTGAAACTGTATTGCACCTGCAAGGACCATCAATTATTTTTGGTGTATTACATAATATAGTTAAGATATTATCACACACATCTTAACCTGCTAAAAGTCAACAGCATTGCTTCTCAGTGTAGATGTTAACTGTTAAATACTTATTTTTGTGTGTTTAGCCCTGCATGGAGGAATGAAGCTCTTGCTAATCAAAGTAAGACTTTTCTTGTCTGCTGCTTTCTATGTGTTTGTTTGCCACTGATTTGCACTCAGATCTGCTTGCTTAAATTAGCATTTTCTCCTGACTGTCACAATTAGTTTCACTTCCCCGGCTGCTGGAGATGGACTGGGGGGTGGATATGAAGACCTGTTCTGATTCTGCTGGCCGCATGGCTGTACCCAGCTGCCTGCTCCACATGAAAGTGGGTAACGGACCACTGACCCCCCCCCAGAGCATGAGTTTTGGTGCGGCCTCTCACAATGATGGACTGAATGATGCTTCATGAACCATTTGCTGTATTTTTTGATCCCACTAGATCAGGGGTGTCAAACTCATTTTAGGGTGAGGGCCGGATGAGAAGAAATGTGACCATGTGCGGGCCGAATTTATTATTATTTTTTTTTAATCATAGTGCATCAAATTACAACAAATACACTATATTCTGTAAAACTGCATTTAACAAGTCCTCAGAAACTGTTCATTAACACTCTTATTCCTTTTTAATACTACTACTACTAATAATAATGATAATAAAAAAGATTTGATATTTAATACTATTGTTCAAATCATCCCGTGGGCCGTATTGGACACCATAGTGGGCCGTATTCGGCCCGCGGGCCGTATGTTTGACACCCCTGCACTAGATGGTGCTCTCTGTTGAAAAAAGAGCACAAAGCATGCCCCAAAGCAACTCAAGAGCACCATCTAGTGGGGTCAAAAAATACAGCAAATGGTTCACTAAACGTCATTTTGTCCATCCCTACACACCACTGATCCATTATGCACTTGGTCTGACAGGTTCAAGATGCTCAGGCCCCTGGAGATGGCAGTGTGAGCCCCCTCTCCTCAGTAACTGTGGAGCTGAGCCGGGAGACACTGGACACCATGCTGGACGGCCTGAGCCGCATTCGAGATCAGCTGTCTGTGGTGGCCAGCAAATAGCTTCTGAGACCAAGCCTGACCTTGCACTTCCCTAGGGAGGAACCACCAGCTCTCTGCCAGGACGTGCTAAATCCACAGAGCACCTCACAGGGGTAGAACTGTAAATACCAGTCATTAATGCAAGGTGCAAGTGGAACCAGAGATGGAACCTGACTAGACAAAGGAGGATTCACAGTCTGTCAGCCTGAAACACCATCCAATATACTGTTGATAGGTTAAAAAGTGTTTCCTTTTGTTTTTTCTATAGCATTTACTTAGAGTAGTGTTTCCCAATCCGGTCCTCAGGGACCCACAAACAGTTCACGTTTTTGCTCCTTCCCAGTGCCCGAGGGAGCAAAAACGTGAACTGTTTGTGGGTTCCTGAGGACCGGATTGAGCAACAATTATTTGGAGGTATTAAACTGTGAAGAGAAATGTGTATCATGTTCATATCTTTTTACAGGAAAAATGGAATAACAATGTAGGATTGCTTTCTGTAATGCTTTTTAAATCTGGTAGATGTATCCATCTTTTACAGTCTGTCCCTTTGATAGCTGACAGACCGCTAATGTACAGCAGTCCAATGAAACACCTGAAAACATGCACGAAATTTGTAGGACTCGAGTTCTCACACCGGTCTGTCTGAATTCAGTATATTGTAGCATGGGTTAGTGGTCATCATGTTTAATTGCGGTTAAATGGGGCACAGACCTACATGCAGTCAGGCAAAAGAAGACTTATGTATGGGTTAGAGAAATAACATCAAAATATAATAAATATCTATATAACGTGTTTTTTTCCATCGAAGCAAAGACGCATTAACTAAATGGTTAGTCATGTCCAGTAGCACACTGCCATCTATTGGGAATATCCGGCTATTGCGCTTTTATATTTATATAAACCGTTTGTCTTTATTGCCCTCTGGTGGTTATTTCATTATTAGGTATCAGTGTATATACCCGTAATAGCTTAACGCTACACGAGTAAGTATTAAACTGTTATTTAGCTGTTGTACCATATTGCCCAAAACCTTATTCAGTGGACAAGTTCATTTGTTTTGAAGAATCATCAAATTTTCATGTTTAAAATAATTTTAATTTGTTCAGAAGGTGTTCCTCCTGTCCATGGTATCATACGTTTACGTCACAATGGTAACTTTCTTCCACCACTGCAGTGAAGCACAAAAGATGTATAAAAGGTGCTTCATGCCGCCTGTTCACTTTCTGCCGTTATACCCTATGAGGAGCATAAGAATCACATCCTTGTTTGTTTCAGACTTTGCATTCATAGAGTTATGCTCTTGTTTGTTCTTACCTCATAGATGAGTTTCGAACACAGGTGGGGCAGTGTGTGGCTCACTGGGTTAGTACGAGGTGTCCATGCGCAGACGCTTGCTGGGTCAGCAGAATCCCAGGATCACCCCAGTGTCAGCAGAATGATTTCACCGCTGAGCCCCTGAGCCAGGCCTAAACCACTATCTGCTCCAGGGACAAATGCTGCTGCTTTGGATAAGAGTCTGCTAAATGAAGATAAGGTTTACTTCATATCAATAAGCTGCTGTGCTTTAGTGAGGAAACTTTGTCAATGTAGGCGGTGAGGGCGAGGTGTGTAAATGAGAAGTAGAGGAATCTGTTATATCATTTTATTGAAAACATTATAAAATGGCATGTTCTTCCCCAACAGTCTGACACTTTACACCATTCACATTAGGTTAAACATAGTAGAAAAGTGTTTGTTCTGACCTTCGCCACTCCTACACACTGGATGGAGTTGGAGTAAAGAGTAAATTAGTAACAGAAGCACAGTAGGGGGAGCATGTGGAAATAAACTGATTTTACTCATATCCTGCCAACCTCACTGGGACTCTCCTCTGCATACAGACAGGCAAGATATTCTGAAAGCAGAACTACCAGGCAAGCAGAAATAATGATCAGATTGGTCCCCCGACTTTTCTGAGGCTCTATGTATAAGATGGCTACATACTGATGACCTCAGTACTTCAACCCAATTTCCTGTTAAGGCAGTCTAAACATCTCAAGAAGAGGGCCTATTATTCTCAGAAAAGCAAAAAGAAAAGCACTTGTATCCAGTGTTAAAACATGACAAAAGTTTGTTTAAAAAAAAAAAAAAATCATTATTTGCATGTTTAAAATACTCAGTAATCCATGAGACCTTACAGTAGAAGCTAATCAGTTTGGCGTAACAGAAAGCCCATTTACAAACTTTTGTAGAATAATCAAACATCCCACAGCATGAACACCTTGGCATTTAAATACGAGCCCAGTTCATATCAATATTAGACATTACATTCATGATAAGACAGTAATGGCAAACAGCATTTCCTATGCAACATTAGGCATTTTTTTAACTACTAAACACTAAGAATCACCGAACTGTGGTCAAAAGTCCCCTGAATGAGGCACATGGATATTCAAACACAACACAGTCCACTAGCTGGTGATACACACGGCCAAGAAAGCAAAACACAAAGTCTATTTCACAACTGTGATCCTGCGCAGCACTAAAATCAGGACTAAATTTCACTGTTGTCTACTAAAGGGCAGGGGACACATCGCTGACCTTAGTCTCAGGCCTCAACCACATGATTCAAGGAGTATCAACACTGATGTCCTGAAACCTAATTTCAGCCTGAGGTTCCCACTGTATTTACAGATTAATATCAATCAATGGATTTATGAGTGTTGGGCCAATGTGTTAATAAGGTATGTGTAGTGAAGCATGAGGCTAGGCTATGTAGCAGCGTCTCAGTGCGGAGGCTGTAACTACTCATTGGGGGTCTGATGGACCCTCTTTCCTGAGGTCTAGCAGGACTACAGTCACCCGTTTACTCTGGGGAAATTTGGCGGTGGCTTATTTGGATCTCATGTGCTTCTGCTTGTTTGGATCTGGCTACCACTAGTGTGATTGTCCTCACTCGCTGAGAGTGCGCGCACACGAGTGCGCGTGCGTACGTCCGCTTTATGCACACAGGCCTCTAATGTAGTAACAGCCATTTTACAGATTTACACTGTAAGTAGAGATTTGTTTCAAGCTCATGCAGAAGAGTTTACAGAAACACTACAAAAGCAAACAGAAATGACAGAACCTGCATTATTATGGTAAATTGCACCTTGGCCTCTTGAACATAGCTCCCCCTAGCTTCCATGGCCGATGTTGCATAGCAGCAGAAAACAGACTCACTCCTACTTTTAGTGTCAACAATGAGGCAGGTGGAAGTGACAACAGGAGGAAACAGACAACCTCTATTAGAAGAGACGGTCACTGTTTGTGTCTGTTTCTTTTTTAAAGCAGGACCCCTTGGAGCTGGGAAGCCAGGTGTAGGAGAGGCTGGGACGGCCAAACCAGGCCAGCAGCAGCGTTTCTCACATGCACGAGCACACACACGTATACGCACGTGGGCAGGCGGCCCCACACATCCAGACGCTAATCAGCCGACGGGGACACAAACACCAACAAGCTGGTCAGATCCAGACAGCCACTGCCTTATTTGCATGTCAAAGGGATCCTCCCGGATCACCCAGTTAACCCACCAGAGACTCACTGCTACGTCACACCTGTGTGCTTCATGCTTTACTGGCAGGCCAGGGCTCAGTAGTGTCTCCCCCCTCGCTATCCAGGGGAATTACTCACACACACCCCATTACTACTCTTCATTTATGACTTGAACCACTTCATAGCTTAAACCCAGGGGTATCCCCCCCTCCCAACTGCATTATTGAATGTGCAAGATAAATGCACATATATAACAACGAATCAACCCCTCCCCACCAATGTCAAAGGCTAACCCCACCCAAAGATGAGGCTCCGCCTTGTGATTGGCTTCACCCCCCTGCTTGTTTTGTGTGATATTAACAGTGAAGAGCCCAACTGGAATGACTGTCAGGTAGGTAACCACACACACACACAGACACTCTCTCTCTCTCTCCCCCCACCAGGGTGTCTGCAAGCAGCACTACAGTGTTTGTTCCTATACTCAAGTCCACCCTCACCCTAATCTTGACAGCCTGCCCACCCCACCACACCCTACCCTACCCTGCCCCACCAGCCCCCCTTCAGGACTTCCTGTTCCTCATTGACTCAGAACTCCCGTTGAGCTTGGCACGCCCGCTGCTGGTTGCCACGGCGCCGTTGTCGAGGACTCGCTCCCTCTCCCCCACTCCTTCCTGCCTGCGGCGTCGCGTTTCCTTGTAGCGTAGCGTGATGTCCCTGCGGCCAGGAGGACACATCACATACTCATACCAACAAGTGTGAATTGAAACCTCGCCCAGCTGAAACTGGTATAGCCAGTATGGATGTGTGTGTCAGTATGTTCCTTATTCACCTCTGGACTAGATTTGAGTATGGCTGCAGTGGTGTGCTGGTCATCATGGTGACCAAGAGGGCAGGGCTAAGTGTTTCCTTGGGGATGGGTGAGTTATGCCCCCAGTTGGGCATGGCTTACCGGATGAAGAACCTCCATAGCGTCCAGGTGAGGATGAGGAGAATGCCCAGGATCCAGCACTGTGTGATGAAGAACGGGATTGGCAGCATGATAGTGTTGGGATCGTATTTCACCACGATGAGGAACTCAGTGACTGTGATGGCTGCCACCAGCCAGGCCTGCTGCCCCAGCTTCTTGTGGAACTTCCTGGAGGTCAAGGAAGAAACCTACACGTGTTCAAGTGCTCAAAAAACCATCCACATCACCCTGAACAACGCGCCCTTCTGCACGGCACGCGTGAGCATCCGGAGCCCACGACTCACGGGTCGTCCATGAAGTCGTAGATCTCTCTCATGGCCACGCCGCCCACATTGACGAAGAAGACAAGGCGCAGCAGCACCAGGTAGTGCTCGGGCGGCATCCACAGCACGAACTTCAGGTAGAAGGTGTTGAGCTCCGCCAACAGGAACTGCAAGGGAGAGTGGCTGCCTCATATACCAGCAGGGACGTGACGCACCAGCAGGTGGCGTGGTGATTAATGACTCAAGGTCAGGGGCGTTTTAGCTGAATTACTCCAAATCAGCTTCAGACAGAGAAAGCTGTCAGCTAAGCACCTGTACCACCTACACCCTCGCCTGACCTTGGGCACACGTGGAGCTCCGAGCTCACCATGAAGATGATGCCTAACACGGCCAACCAGCGACGCAGGTTGGACGCCGGTTTCCACTCAAACTTCACCCAGCTGTAGGGTGTGAACTGGAAGGCGATTCTCTTGATCTTCCCCCTAAGGAGCACAGAGTGGCCATCCAGCAACATTTCATCTACTAACAGGATACAGGACCGACATTTTTTGTAACAGTATATTTCTGTTATAGTGGGAAAAATGTGCTGGGGGTGGGGGTTAGATGCCATACTTGTAGGTGGGGATGTTCCACAGGCCTTGCCACTGGTATGGCTTCATGGAGAGCCAGCCCAGGGTCTTCATGCCACAGTAGATCCCTAGACCGTTGCACACCAGCACATCCATTATCCACTGGAGATTAGTGGGAAAAGTAAGTCATATGTTAATGATGATGAACAACAGGATCTAACGGCACAATGAGGAACCCAGACTGACCCGGAAAGTGAATAATTTTTGAGATTTTATCTAAAGACTTAATTCAAGAAGCCATAAGCGTGACTGACGGAGGCTGTGAATGTGAACCAGGTAAATACAGAGTGGGGGGGGAGGGGGTTACGTACATGGTCCCACCAGCACTCTGAGAAGTTGGGCAGCTGATGCTCCAGGCTGTATTCCAGGAACTCGAACATGACACTGATGATCATGCACATCCACCAGTCCCGGATCATCAGCGTCTGACAGTGCAAACAGGGTCTTACGTGACATCGCAGCACGTCGATGCGGTTTTGTCACACTGGCCTCCAAAGCCACGACCACCATCATCAAGACCACAGTTAGGATCCTGTCTCACTAAAGCTCACGTCACTTCCTGCAGTCACTATCCTGTCTGCGTCGCTATAGCTATCGACCGTCATCACATCTTTTGTTTGAGAACCTTCTGGAATCATAAAACATGCACGGCAAGTGCACAGGTGCAGACATATTTCTATAAACACAGATATACCCTAAGGTGGCCAATCCAGTCCTTGGGGACCCATAGTCAATTCATGTTTTTGCTCCCTCTGAACTCCTGGCCAGACAGCCCACATTTTTGCTCCCTCCAAACTCTGGGATCTGGGAGGGAACAAAAATGCGCGCTGTCCATGGGTCCCCAAGGACCGGATTGGGAAACACAGTCCTAAGGTTTCATAGGGATCCCACTGAAGACCCACCTTGATGTACCAGCCCAGGAAATGAGCAGGAACAAAGCCGTCCATCTTGTCCTGAAAGGGAAAGCGATGTCACTGATATCAGCATGATAGTACATTAAGTGACTGATAATGTATGACATGGAAAGTTGGACACAGTGGGTGTGTGGGCAGGCAAATGATCCAGGTTTCCTAACCACACACCATGCTCCCTTAATTAGAAAATAACATCCTCAGTGAGTGAGTCTGCCGCTAGTGGTTAACGGTCGGTGGTTTGTGCAGAGGGGGTGTGCAAAAGGAATACTTGTGGTTAAGCATGACATATGCTGTAAACCGCGGCGGGGGAGGTCAGTGATGACAGGAGGCCACTGTGACTCTAGGTGACGCGCCGGGAATGGGCCTTACCCAGATGTTGTGAAAGGGGTCTGTGATGTTGCCCGGGTCATAGATGAGACAGTTGCCCCCATAGTCTCTCTCTGGCAGTGGCACCCCAAGCTTGGGGTCGATCCACTTCATAAACTGCCGGCCGTCGTGAACCGTCTGGCGGGGGGAGACGCACATTATATTTTGATGTTATTTCTCTAACCCATACACCAAGTCTTCTTTTGCCTGACTGCATGTAGGTCTGTGCCCCATTTAACCGCAATTAAACATGATGACCACTAACCCTTGCTACAATATACTGAATTCAGACAGACAGGTGTGAGAACTCCAGAGTCCTGCAGATTTTGTGCATGTTTTCAGGTGTTTCATTGGACTGCTGTACATTAGCGGTCTGTCAGCTATCAAAGGGACAGACTATAAAAGATGGATACATCTACCAAATTTAAAAAGCATTACAGCAAACAAACCCACATTGTTATTCCATTTTCCCTGTAAAAAGATATGAACACGATACACATTTTTCTTCAGTTTAATTTGTCTAAATTAACGCTGTAAAAAAGGAAACCTTCTTTTTAAACTAGTAATCAGTATATTGGATGATGTTTCAGGCTGACAGACTGTGAATCCTCCTTTGTCTAGTCAGGTTCCATCTCTGGTTCCACTTGCACCTTGCATTAATGACTGGTATTTACAGTTCTACCCCTGTGAGGTGCTCTGTGGATTTAGCACGTCCTGGCAGGGAGCTGGTGGTTCCTCCCTAGGGAAGTGCAAGGTCAGGCTTGGTCTCAGAAGCTATTTGCTGGCCACCACAGACAGCTGAATTACTACTATCACAGTGACTATCGCTTTCCCTAACCCCCTCCTCTCCCCCGCCCCCATCAGTCACTGCCATCACTGGGAGAGAGCATCATGTCTGGTGATCAGCCGATAGGCCTGAAGCCCGAAGCACAGCTACACTGACAGGCAGGCGAGACAAACAAACAAATAAGTTGAAATAAATTGACAGTAATTTTTTTTTTTTTTTTAACTTTGGGTCTCACCTGGAAGAGGATGAAGATGAGGAAGAGCTCATAGACCACGGACACACACAGCCAGAAGCGCCAAAAAGCTGTTAGGGAACCAGATACACACTCAGTTTTCAATGGCAAGAGTAACAGCCGTTTGTGTGTATGTGTGTCTGAGAGATAGACGCTCCTCTACTTACGAACAAGATACGTTCCGAACGGCCGTTCGCAACTTGAAATGTCTGTAAGTCGTTATTCACCATCATTTTAAGGGTATACGCAAGTACAAAGAACCAGGATGCTGGGAGTACGCACGCTACGCTGCTGTGCGGCGGGAGTAGCGGCCAGAAGTTGTACTAGGCGGAATTGATGCGCAGAAAAAAAAATTGACGGACAGGAAACAGGAGCCCAATGAACACAATTTGGACTTACAGTCCTCTTCGTTCGTATGTCTGAAAGTTCGTAAATAGAGGAGCGTCGGTACAGCTGGATTTCAGCTGCTACGTGCCTGCGTGTGTTTTTTGTAATCATTTCATTGTAGGAACCAGATTTTCCCACAATGTGATAAAAACCTGTAACTTTTTAACTTGTGGGACATTCTTTCAGTCCCCACAAGCATAACCTGAATTCTATAAAAATCTATGAATGCAATCAAAAAATTCAAAATTTACTTATGGTTAAGATTAAGGCTGGGTAGGGGTTAAGGTTTTCATAGTTTAGATTAGGGTTAGGCGTGTGTGTGTGTGTGTGTGTGTGTGTCTGTGTGTTGTGTGTGACGATACCACTGCACTTAGCCAGCACCATGCGCCCTGGCACACACGACCACTTTAACAAATGAATGTTACAACAACATCATTTTAGCGTAAAGCCAGCTGAGGGATCCCCGGCGGTGAGGGGGGTCCTACAAGTTCTGCAGGGTTTGCAGGTTTTTTTTGTGCCAACATTACATACAATAATAAGTCATTGTTTGAACAGACAACACCAGTGGCAGATGGGAAACATTTAATAATTCATGTTGGGGTTTGATTATTTTATTGAGTTTTCTTTTCAGGTAAAAGGAATGTTGGAATGGAATTTCTTGTGATTTATTTTACGAAACAGGATGTCAGTCAAATATGTGGAACAGGATGGATGGTGTGTCTGTGTCGATGATTTAGGGACCTTTCTTGACCTCTCAACAGCAAAGGAACTGGTTTTTCTGCATGTCCTCTATAACTCAAGACTACCTGCACTGGGTGTATCACTGCCTCCTCTGTCTCCCTCCCACCCTATCAAGACGCTTCTGAGAAGTTTGTACTTGTATCGCAGCTGCACTGGCAATTATGTATATCCCTTGACAATGAATGCAGTTGCTTTCCCAGGGTCAAAGCAGAATTGCAAGAATCACAGGACACTCCTGTGCACGTCATCTTAAACACTCCGCTAGACAGGACACAGCCCGTCCGCACCAGTGTAACCAATGTGTAATTACAGCTCTGAAACACAGACCTCTTCAGTGTGTCTTCTGTGCCCTCAACTGACTGTGAAAGCATGGAAGGATTTATTGTTCGTCTCTTATAAACTCGACGATCGTAGCTGTGACAGTTCTTCCAAACGTGTATTACAGGTTTTGAACAAGGAATCATAAAAGCTCAAATTGCGTATACATGTGTATGTACATACAGTTTGCATGTTTAGGAAACATTAAAACTACACTTTCGCTGTTGTGTTGAACAGGCTATGTTCCCAAAGGGCCCGACTGCCCAGCCCAGCTCCGCACCAAGCACGAGGCAGCTTGGCGCTCTGACATCTGCAAGCGCCGACTGTGACCACTGCCGCGGGGGACCCTGACTGCCCTGCAGTCGTGTTCACGGGGTCCCGCCCCGCCTGACACGGCACGGCACGTACCTGGGTGTGGTCGGGTGAAGGGCCCATCTTTGGCCTGCGTGACTCCGAAGCAGAGGAACACCAGGATGCTGGCGATGATCCCCCTGCACACAAACGGGCAGAGGGGCCAGGGTGAGCTGGCTGTACCGACGGCAGCAGATCGGACCACATTAGTGCTGGTGGTGCAGTGGTTAGTGTAGCTGCCTTCAAAGCCAATGCAAAGAGCTTTGGGGGGGCAGCATGTGGCTTTGCTAAGCCTCTGTGCCTGTGATGGGAAATTCGCCAGCAGGGTGGGAGGGATATGTGACCAGAAGCAATCCAGAAGCATTCCAGAAGCAATCCAGAAGCAATCCAGAAGCATTCCAGAAGCATTCCAGAAGCATTCCAGAAGCATTCCAGAAGCATTCCAGTGTACCTGCATTGTTACTTGTACAAATCGCAAAAATAAAGGATCATTTCATTTCACCACACAGAGGGGACGTAGACTCCCACGATGCACAAGAGCCCCTTCCCATGTGATGACAGTATCCCTGACTAATATCCCCTCCCTCCCTTTGGGTTGGGACAGGTGAACATCACAGAGGGAGACGGCACACGGATCGCTGTAATCCGCCCATCTGGGCAGTAATCCAGTTAGCAGCGTTGGGACAGCAGGCACACTGCCAACTGCACCACCTCAGCAGGGCTTTGGTGGTGGAGGCCCCGCCTACAAAATGACTGTGCATGTAAGCTAAGGGCCCCCACAGAGTGTGACTGTGCTAATGAGCTCCTGCCTGTAATCTTGCTCAGATAAGTTTAACCTGTGTGTGACAGGCCTTGCCCAGCCCTGAGCAGTATGGGACCCGCCCCACCCTCTGCCCCACCTCATGCATAATGCCCTCACCCCCCAAGAAGTAATACAGGGAAGTACCACCACTTAACAACCATTATCCACTCCGGAACAAATCCTGGCTTATAAGCCTGAACACCTACTGGATAATAATCCCTTTATTATTCCTATGCTCAGTCGTGGCCCTTATCTAGGGCGCATATACAACCTGAAGGCTATTTCTGTCATGCACACAGTCCAAATATCCACTCATGCAGGTGAATGTTTATTGGGCAAACTGATCTACTATGCCTTTCCCCTCATTACCAGATCAAAGTGTTTGACGACCACAAGTAACCCTTCACTATAACTTTAACTATTAACTATAAGTTCTTGGTTGAACACCAGACATGAAAGACTATAACCTACACAGAAAACAGACAATTTCCCTTTCCATAGGTACTGACCACCTATGCAAAGTGAGACAGACCCACTGTTGAGTCTGCATTCTGATCTGTCAAATTGCGACTTAAAACTGAGTTAAACTGAGGCACAGGGTCAGCCAATAAAATGAAATTACACAGCTCATATTACTGCCCCTGAAAATTATTTTTGCACTGTTTATCAGGGCACTACATTTGACCAATTTAAGTATTTGTAGCAAATTATCTAAAAACAGGGTCAGGTGAGATGCGTAACCGTGGTGATGACACTGACCTCTTAGTGTTGTAGGCTGTGTCCTGGGGTGTCTCTTCCAGCAGGGTGACATAAACCAAAGCACAAGTGAGGATGAACAGCACCGTCAGGGTGTGAGCCCTCCTGCAGAAAGAGAGACAAGGGGTGAGACTTCTTACCTCAGTGCTGCTGGGTACAGCAGGGAAATGACTGTGATTCGATGGTGGGCTGCAGTAAGACGTAGGAAGGGATAAAGACCGAAGAGAGGAGACCAGCACCATGGTCTAGAAACGACCTCACAATGAGGCAGAGGCAGGCAGGTCTGCGGCACTGGACGGAGGCAGAAAGAGGACTGCTACTGGGAGAGAGGGAAGCCCCGGGGATACCGAGGGAGAGGCGGACTGACCATGGTCACTGGTCGCCGAACAAGAAAGACCTGTCCCAGTGTAAGCAACACATGAAGACGGGGAGCACAGGGCAGGACAATCCATCAGCGGCCCCTTGCTGCGGGCAATTTACTTACGTCTATAAATACTACGCGATAAAAAAAAAAAGAAACAGGTAAACCAGAGGCGTTCTGGATTTCTTTGCAAATCACTGAACTGCCTTCAATTTTAGCTAAATTTATTTGATGAAGATTTATATTAAGTAGAGTTCGCAGGGATCGATGGAACAATAAAGGAGTGTTTACCAAGGCAGGGAGCAAAAATGTGGACTGTCTGCAGGTCCCCGAGGACCGGATTGGGAAACACTGCAGCAGAACATTACACAAGATTACTGCCAACAACTTGTGCTTAAAATTGGAAACAAATGAACAGCATAGTAGGTTGATTTAGAAAATGAATTTTAGGGTATGGGGGCTCAGGGAATCTCATTCTATACATTTTTGCAGTGCTGGTGGCCCCCAGAGAGGAGGCCCAAAGACTTGCTGTCACAGCAGAGCCCAAGACTAAGAGAATAAGCTGTTGTTGCTTAGCGCCACAACCATTCCAACACAAACTGAAACCATGCAACTGATCAGCACCAAGTCGCCGGCTGGCGCCATGTTCAGCGAACTAAACCGCTATTGTTAGCTTTTGCGACAGGAGACCATAATTAGCCTTTAAAATTATCCGTGGGCCATTCGTAGTTGGCTAATTTTCGCCTTCATTCTTGGTATCCGCAGGAAGATAATAGTAATGATAATGACTGTTTAGGGCAGTTGACCTGTGCGTGTAATAACGTGTGTAAACAGTGTACTCCAGTTGAAAGCCTGCCGGCAATCCATTGCCCATAAACAGTGGACAAGATACATCTATCACACAGGCTAATAAGATCAGCCCATATTTCTGAGAAGAGGCATTGAAGACTTTGGCTGACAGGTACAGGTGTACCCAGTCTAGACCGACACACAACCAGGTAAGAGGACTGGAGTCATCGTCCTGGCTACTTTGGATGTAGGTAAGCAAACTGAAAAAACAGGACATAGGCAACAGGACCTTAGCTGAACAGTGCTATCCTCTCAGAGAAACAGTGGTTAGAAGTTTATGACACCCTCCTCCAAAGCTAATCTCCCCAGTCCACATATTTCCACCGAAAGCGGTCCAGCCTACAGCAAGTGATGGCTCCCAGTGCACCCTGCCCGGTTCTGAAGTCAGTCAGAATTAGATTAATATGCACACCACAAAGAATCCTGTTGAACCAGACGCTGTTCCCACCACGACACCAGTGCTTGTTTCTGCTTGCGTGTTCCATTTCCGAACATTCTGCATTTGACTGAAGACGCAAGCAATACGGAGTGTTCAATGGGGCTGCTTTAGGCAGCACATCGGCAGTGTAAGAAACTAGCTATACTGGGACTTTGGAGAGATGCCTACAGGTCCCCACCCCCCTGCAATTACCTCACAGCCTTCCACCCAACCTATTGGGACATGTCTGTCGGCTCAGACATCTAATGGAATTCCCGAGTCTTTTCTGCAGAGGTAGCAGGAATGAAGACAGAGCCTGAGGAGGAGGCTGATTCCACAGAGACACCCGTCGGCTGGCTTTCCGTAACAATCTGCTCGCGTTCTGCCCACATGACGGCTGCACGTCACTCACAGGGTGAACGATCACCGAGCTCGGTTAGAAGCACTGCTGTGTGTATTCAGCCGCAGTACTGTGTCTTACGAAAACAAAGCGGGGGTTGGGGGCAAGTTCAGCTTTCAAGTTCACAGAGCTGAGGTCTTGCAGTTGCCCTTGATGCTGACGCCTGAATTTCAGTGGGAAAGAAGTATCCAAGAAATGGGTTCCCCAAACCACAAACATATACTTTCTTAAAAGGAAGCAGTTTTTAATTGACTGATATGATCAGCAGATTGAGCCAGACACCACTGAATGAGAATTGTTATTAAGGCTGAGTGATATAAATCGGGCTACATGACAGGTACATTAGAGCCATATGAGAGAAACGGACACAACTCAGCTCCCTGGCGTAGCCGTGAATCGTCGAAGCGTTAATAACTGCCATGGATAATAACAGACACACAGATAATGGACAGGACATAGTGACACTGCCACGACCCAGTGACCCCTTGGACACACCATACTGGGATTATTCAAAAACCTATTTATAGACTATACAGCCACTGTATTAATAAATGAAGTGGACTCAGTCCATAGATATTAGCATTTTAAATAATTGAACATCACTGAAATACAAAGCAATGCAACAAATTTCAGAATGGATGTGAGGCATTGCAGCACAGTAAATAAGCCCAAACCTTAATTTGACTAGTTTACTTTAATCAAACATTAGGGATGGGACCCTGTGCTAAAACAACAGCTTGAAGCTTGAACAGAAAAATCAGCACGACTAGTCTAAACTCAGACGTACAGCAAAAAGTCCATTTGAATATAGCTGGGCATACAGTGCGGGATACACTAGAGAAAAGGCGTCCTGCAAAGGCACTCACCAGAAAAACGTGTTGGTTCCGTCATCGTAGACTTCACACTCCGCCGACTTCCAGGGGGTACCCTCCCGTAACCCTATCTTTGCAGACCTAATTTTGGGCATCGTGGCAGCTATCGACTCTTCGGAGCCACCAGATGGGTTCGGGTCCAGCGGCCCGTTGTTGAGCTGCTCCTCCGCTTCGGCGGATCTCCCGGCGACGAGCATCGTGCCGCCTCTCCTGGACTCAGGCTTGGTCATCGCGTCCCTTATAAGTCCCTCCGGTCGGCAGTCTCCGTCCAGACAGTTATTATTATACTGTAATAATGCTGCGTGTCATCTAAAGCGACCCCACCCAGGCGAATGTCAGCATCAAGACCTGGATCCTGCAAGATAATATCTGTAACGAAGCGCGTGCTTTAAGTATCATACCTGCTATTTTCTGTCATGAAAGTTTTCATTCATCACCTGCAAATGGAAAGCCAGCTTTGGATCGACCCCAGCCCTCACTAATCGCTCGGCCCAAGCGTGATCTCATCTACGATGAAATGGCCCACGATCCCTTGGCTGTATGCGCATAAACTCCTAAAGTGGACTTTAAAGGGACGATGCTGTTGTAACAGCACGAAACTGTCTGCGGCGAAGGCTTCGACTGGAAGCCTACATTTAAAACAGACCCTTTATATAAAGATTATATTTTTTAAGTCCGAACTTACCTATCCAGCTCAGGGTAGAGGATGTCAAGGGACATTTACTTGACAGCTGCGCCGGGACTGATTCTCCTAGGTGCGCATCCGAATGTCATTCTGCGCTGCTAGTTAACCCCACACGTCGGTAACTAGCTTGGGTTTAACCATAACGCAGATGCCAGCCTGGTCACCAGCTTGTGCGCGACCTGCCCAATACATGCGTCGCCGACTGGCTACACACCTTTCGCATACGGGCAAAATAAAAAAAGTCCCTCAAATATTTCCTTTTTAACTAAGTTAGAATCTCTGTCAAAAAATTAAAACGGCGAGATGGGTTACGCCTCGTCTTTGTAGTAATTCTCGACACCAAGCGGGCTTTTTTCCTCCCCCCTTCGTTCGTATGTATAGACTATGCGGCTTAGCGCCAACCTACTACCGTTGAACTGAGGGCTAAGCGGAGAAAGCGGAGAAAGCGCATACGCCGAGTCCGCTCTGACCGACGTCACTTCCGTATGTAGCTCTACGCATGCGTATGGCTCGTCACAGCACCACGCGTTATTGCGTGAGCACTGAGCCGAGGTACTAACCGAGGTATTTCAGTGCTTTAGGTGGTGGGACGGGTGAGACAGGTGGGACAGGTGGGATGTAGTCGCTGGCGGCGTCTTAGCCGTTCGTTTCTTCGATTGTAGCTCTAAAAGCTTTTAATTTCCTGAAGAGGAGCCACTGATTTGCAGCTTCACCACCGGGAAAACGCACATTAAACATTATTGTCTCAGAAACAGCATTTTATTAGCACGTCACAGAAATCCATTGATTTTACACAATCGCGTATCAGTTATTGGGTCGCTACGAGAAGATGTAAATATTTTATTTTTTCAATCTTTTGAAATATGAAGCCTAATACAAGACGTAAATCAAAGGCTACATAATTATTAATTTCCTGCCAGCATTCCACAAACCCGAAACTGGCGTTTGAGGTTGAGTCTCGCACATATATTAACATAAAATAAACATAATATTGCATGCTGTGATCATTACTGTTGTGTATACATGTTCTTTGCTATCTTCAATATACCGTTAAAATAAGTTTTTGTGAAATTATTTAATTTTTCTTTTGGAGAAATCTGGTTGTCGGTAATAGAATTCCTTTTACTTCGGTTTCAGTTACTCTTAAAAAGAGTGATTTTATTATGGCTGTTTCACAAATGATCAAATATGTACTTCAATATTTTTGATTGACACAAACGAACCTTAATTTCTATTTTTTCCACAATCATCACAAAAATAAAACATTTGGCGAGGATTGGCACTGCATGGTTAATTTAAGGGCGACTAACAACTGACACAATCAATATGGTTTAATTAGAATTGGCGTTCTTTGCTTTTTCTTCGTGCAAACTTGTTTCTTCCATGAGCCAGAGGGTTACTTTTGTTGCTTTTTAAAATTAAATTCCTTTTAAAGATAGGCTACATTTTAACCGATACACAGCGAATCATCAACACTTTGACACAGAAAGGGAAGTGCAACGTTTCCAAGTAAAACTAAAAAAAACAACAAACGACTCTTAAAAGTAAAAATTATTTGGGTTACGAATTACCGATAATTTCATAAACGGTACTTCATTGGATCCCATGTTTCTCGCTGTGTTATCAGTCTATGCCTGCTGTTATCTCACGACGATCGGCAGTGCTTTATAAGTACAATTAAACACGGTGGCACAATTTTCATTACAAGTCTACCTAGGCTTTCATGATTGTTCATTGATTCAGAATGAATGCATTGCACTGCAATTGAGTGGTATTTCTTAATGCTATCAACGGTCGTTTTTGTTAATGTTCCTGTGATTACAGTGTAATTGTTATCTTGTTACATGATCGTTAAAACCATTTAAATAGCACCCGTAAAAATGGGTGACATGATGGTACTTGTTGCCTCATACCTTTAGGGCTGTGTGTATGGAGTTTGCAAGTTCCCCAGGTACTGTGGCTTAAATATATGGTATCAGACTAATTGGCATCTCAATATTGGACGTTCCAGTGTTACTGCATGCATGTGCTCTGCAATGGGCCAGAATTGCAATGATCCCAGTCGTATGACCTTGGCTGCCTGGCTGGGTCCACTCCAACAGGGCTGCCAGGTAAAGCTTTTCCTAAGGCCCCTGAAAAGGGGAGACCGAGCCCTGCTACCTGCTACCCCCCCCCCCCCATGACCCAGACAAGAAGCAGTGAATACATGTCATCAAAGTGAGCGGCTCTCACCACTCCAGAACCCAACTGCCGTGACAAGAACTGGGAGTCTCTGAGACGGACAGTTACAGTGCTGGCTCTCTAATGAATGTAATAATGCTTCTTTAATTGTAGCATGACATTATATGATTTGGACGCATCTTATTCACTCAGTTTGTCTGCATATGATCTGCAGCACATATCCACAGAAAATACGTAACTGGGTTCCTGAGTATTTTTCTGCAAAATGTAGGGGTAAACCCCATTCTACATTACAGCTAATCTATGTGTAATGCAGCTAGCTCATCATATGATGCACTTCACTATGTGTCACGTCCTGTGTGCACTCTCAGACTGACCAATCTTAATTACAGATTAACACTAACAGTCTTAATTAAGCACACCTGTGCATGGCCTACGCTGTGCCCGAATTTCATTGCCACTCCCCTTAATATGAACAGTGAGAACCAACCAGTCACAAGAGGTAGATGTTCTTGCATGACATTCCTTAAAGAAAGAATGAACAGGATTTGTCAGTTGCCATTTGTAAGAACGCCATTCAAAGTTGTCTAGCTATCTGATTTGCACTAAAATCTGTTTTGCACAAAAGTTCATTATAATTGTTTTTCTGTCAATAAAACTTTGCTAAAAATTAAGTGTAGCATGAATTGCATTCAAGATAAAGCAACTTTATTTACATAAGACATTTCCTACAGAAAAGCAGTAGCCTAAATTCACTGACAAAGCAGATGGATATGGCATCACCTTGGATAATGTTTACAGTGCAGATCATGGACATTAAGTCTGGCAAGACAAGTCATTTACTGCTGCTAAACATGGTCTGCACATTGCGAAATGAAATTACATCGGTGGGATGGCTGAGTCTGAATCTGATCCAAATATTACCCTATTACTATCCTAGTAATTATTTTGCCAGATAAACCATATAGTAACCCCCACCCCTTAAGAAAAAGGAAAGATGATCCATTTTGAATGGTTCTTGGAAAGGAGCGGAGTCATAAGATATTCCCATCACTAATTTAAACCTTTTTTAATTTTTTATTAATGAAGTAGGAATTGTACAACAATTCTTACAAAAAACAAAGAACAATGTAAACATAATTATAATCTTTGAAAAACAGCAAAGAAAATAAAACATAAACAGCTAATGGCTATCTTATGATAATTTTAAGGCATCGATAATATTTAGTAATTTCTCAGCATTTTTCTTTTTTTCTTTAAATTTTAGCGATTTGTAATAGTGTTAGTTCTTTTAGAAGGATCACCAATAAAGGTTCTGTATTAATGCATATACTTTACATTTATGAATAAAAAAAATCCCTTTAAAAAGTATTTGACAAAAGTGTAATTTTCTAATCCTCCATTATGATTCTACATTTAATGTCATTTCTGTTACTGAGGGATAACTAATTTAAACCTGCATGACTGAGCACTCAGTGTGAGGTGCTGTTTGTGGACATTGTGCGACACGTCTCTGTCCTGCTTCCTGCCTTTGCTCTCCTCTCCTGACCTCCCCTATCCCAGCCTCCTTCGGATCTCCCCAGTGTCCTTACCTCCTGTTCTCAGTGTATTTGTTGAAACTCCCCGGCTTCCAACTGGTGTCCAACTCTGACCCCCACACCGATTTCTGGCAGCCAATTTGGTGTCTGTTCGCCGATGTCCCTCAATAAACCTCAAATCATTGCATTTGGGTCCGTGAGTTTCTATTCTGACAGTATGATACACTTCATATGTTTAATCTGTACATAAAGGTACTGACCTCAACCATCCACTCATCAGAAGATTTAGTATTACACATTTAGAGCAAGTTGTTATTAAACATGCAGGCCTCCAATGGAATTATCCAACCTTAAATGAAGTATACATTAAGAAAAGGAATACATAACAGAAGTTTGGGGAAAAGAAACTGAAATAAAATTCACCATGCTTCTCCAAACTGCTAAACAAACTAAGGGTAGCAGTCTTGGAGTCTGGCACAGATTTCTGTAACCTGTGTGATGTTAAAATAAAGGAAGGAAACTGCAGGGGCAGAGTCTGAAACTCCGCAAAGGATCCGATACCACCACAGTCACTTATGTTCCTCTTACGAGACACCAGATACATGTCGGTGTAATGCGTATGATGCGTATCCGGGTCAAAGTTCACGCTCCCAGCTAATCTCCAGCACTGGAGTCACGACCGTGAGACACAGTGTTATGGAAATATGTGGAAAAACTTGAATGCAGTTTGGCCTTCATGTGGAATTGGCCATAAAAAGATCAATACTGTATCACAGACAGAAAGCTAGACAGCTGAATGACTGTATCTACTGTAACTCACCTCACACAGCTCTGAGGTTAAGTTACCTCCTGTAAATTCTTATATAAATGTTGGTATTCGTAGTATTGAATCCATGTCACATGATCCATTACACTTACCCAGTAACCACATCAGACAGGCCCAGTGAAGGGGGAGTGTATTCCGCAAAGGATTCAGTTACATTAAATACTGTTAATGTATTTCCTTTGGGACTAATAAAATATCTATCTATCTATCTATCTATCTATCTATCTATCTATCTATCTATCTATCTATCTATCTATCTAAATCAAATAAAATTACTTTTATTGAGACATACCTAGAACAAGGGAGCTAGTGAGTGAAAGTCTTTCACCTAGAGTTCCACGTTCCCCTGTGCAATACACTAAATAAATACAAACTGTACATAAAACAACTGTACAACAGTATGTGCCACACATATGCACAAAAAACAATACAATGCACAGAGTACATAATACAATAAACCAAAGAATCTGTCACATACAAAAATATATCTGCAAGGTAGCCATAAAGATGCAAGACTCGTTGTTTTAAATAGTTAAATCACAATTCAAAATGTAAAATGTGGATTTACATCACAGATAATAAATAAAGGAATATACATGACAGCTTAGCTGTGGGTTTCAGCTCGCCTATGCTGCCGGCTAAACTGGTTGATTGTGAAAGTTTGGCAGCTATTGGCATTCAGCTGTAATACCTGTAATACGGTAATCCCAAACGTAGTTGCTTTGAGTATAGGATCACGTTTTGAAACCAGTGACCCCATCTGAATACATTACTATAGAATGAGATGATATACATCTAATCTTTTTTAGATATTTGTTTACCGTTAGAATATGTTTCAGAATAAAATACTCAGATGGACTTTTTGTTATTTTTCATAATTCAGTTTTG